AGATTTAGAACAAATAAATATGAAAAAATACTTTTTTATATACAATTTTATTACATCATCATATATAATGGATTATTTTTACAAGCCTGTTATAACACATTTAATCAGCATCCTAATTAAATCCTTAAAAGTTTTTAAATATTTAGAATTTTTATTTATTTATTTATTTATTTATTTACATATGAACATTTATATGCATTTATGAACGTATTATATCATCTTTGCTTCAAATTACAAAAAACAAAGTACTGCTTGTGTGCAGCCTTTCTATTCTATGGGACAAGACAGTAAATTTAATGTTATTCTCTCCTCTGGCTGCCGTCATCAGACTCACACATTTTTTTCCCCTTTTTCTTTATAACATCATCGAGGAGTTTTTCTTTTATTATTTTCGCAAAAAAGTTTGTAAAAAAAATAATAATTTGTTGCATTCTCCCATTCAAGTTTTCCTCAACTATGGCGAGTTCCGCTACTGAGGAACCCGGAAATATGAAAAGGACCTATTAGGAGAAAAAAACATTACCCTATTGTGTCATTTATTAGGCAAATAACAAACTGGCAGCACATTCAACTTTCCTTAGTCAGAATATGTCCATTTGAATAATAAAAAAATGTAAACATAATAATAATGTTATTAATAATATAAATTAATATAAATCTTTATGATTTTTCTAGCCTCTCCAGTAAAATATAGACATGAAAATTCACAGATAACAACACTAGCTAAATTAGTAATTAAATAAATTTTAATATGTGCCACTTTTAGGGCTTCACACCTTTTCATTGGTAATTTTTTTGTTGCTTCAAGAATAAGATCCAAGATTACTTCTTCATTTAAAAACAACACAGTAGTGAAAGATGACTTCACTAACATCAAAATGTATGTTTTCTTGCACAGCTAGATGTTAAACTCATGAAAAATATTAGTCTACATTGAACAAAGCTGATTAGCTGAAGCGACAGACAACAAAAGATTGGTCTTAAAGCCTTTTTGATTGGTTATTATCACTATTTGTGATGGCATAGCAGTCAAAATTTTTAAAAAAAAGTGTCTTACCGAGATAAAGGGATGCATTCTCTTTCTTCACATTATCATCCAGGTATGTTGGTCCCAGTGTGTAGATAGGAGTGGATCCCATGCCCACCAGGACCTGGGCGCAGACAAACAGGGCCACATATATAGAGTGATCATTGCCTTCTTGGTCCCTTGGACAGGACGACACATCCAGAGCATCTCTGCTCCTGTTCCCATTCAAACACAGGCCCTCATTCCCCATGGATGAGTTGACCTCTTTGATTTGATAAGGTGGAGAGATGAAGTGCGGAAGGGAGAAAAGAGCAGCTCCTACCGCGATAAACACTCCTCCTACTGCCAACCAGCGTGGCCTTTGACCTCGACCTCCAAAATAACTGATGAAGACCACCACTAGCAGACTTCCAATGTCAAAGCAGCTGACCAGCAGTCCCGATTCAGAGCTTCTAAGGCTGTATCTCTTCTCGATAGTGGTGATGACACTACTAAGGTAACCAGAGACCATCAATGACTGGATGAACGTCAGGTAGCACATGCAGAACAGAAAACACCTAGAGTCGGAGAGAATCACCCTCAAGTACTTCCTCACAGGGAAGCGGATGAGTCTTGCCAATGAAAAGCCTAGTTTTTTGCCACCTGCTCGGTTGGCTTCAGTTCTCATTGAGCTGCTGAGACCCACCATACTGGACGCCGAAGGGGAGAAATCAGTTCTGGTGGGTGAATCCAATTCACTCGAGTATCCTTTCTGACGCAGGTCGTTGAACACCAAGCATTGGTCGGTGTTTACTAAAGTCTGAGTTGTACTGACCAGCCTTGGATCTAATGTCTCATTAATGGTCGGACAGTCGCCGTTAAGAACAGGCAAGCTTTTGGATTTGAAGCAACCACCTGTATCTCCATATTGTCCCTGGAATTCACAGACCTCCAGAGACTCGGATACATCACTCCTGGTCTCATCATTATATGATGATGTCATATTGACTACTTGGAGTCAATAGGAAGATAGCCAAGAAGTACTTTGAAATTTAATTAAAACTTCACAGCACATTAGACAGGACAAAAAGGTAAACGATGACTAGACTTTTAAACATGATTACTGAGTATAGCTGTTCAACAGCTACTTGTCTACTTAATTCTCATCATAAGTCCAAAAGATAAAGAAATTGGATAAATTATATAACATTTAAATGTTTACAGCTGCCTACAGTTATAGTGAAGCAGCAAAAAGTTGCATCCATCTCGTGAATATCGTTGATATTGATCTCTGGTCATGGTGCTGGAATTATTATTTGAAGATGAATGATTCGGAACCCTAAAGAGAATGAAAATAAAAGCAAACTAACATTAATATTTATTTGTTAACTATTCAAGAAGCAACACAAACAGCGTTGGATGATCCTGTCAGTTGTTTTGTGAAGTCGCGCTGCTGTCTGGTAGATTAGTGGTAACGTAGAGCAAGACAAAGAATAACAGTAAACGTGCGGCAGTGCGCTGATAAAACACAGTCAGGAAAACTACAAACCGTGTCAACCTTTCTGAATTACGCGTTTATTTAATACAACTAATTACCGACGTAATGTTTACGAAAACAAGACTTTATACTATTGTGAAATTTAGAAAAATACAGTAAAACATTCTGTCAGTTCAAACAGCGAGTCTTTCACCGAATTCATCCACAGTGCATCGCTACAGCTAGACCCTAATCTTTAAGTGAAATATCAAGACATAACAACAATGAAGTGGCTGAAGAGTGAGTTGAATGAGGAGTAATGTACTTACACGGCTGATACAGACAGAGGTAGTGAGTTGTTGTCCTCGAAACGGATTGTGAGTGAATGAGATTGCGGATTTGATGAAGAGGGTGACGGAGCCCTCTAAGTGCATTCTGGGAAGTGAAGTTTCTTATAAAGTCTAAAATAAAGCAAATATTTTCTAAAATAAAGTAATTTATATTTTGATGACCATACAAATCATTGCAAAACGACCCGAAAACACACTTTGTTAAACATTTTTCGGCGACCACAATAATAGTTGCTACAACAGTTGCATTAAATATTTTTTATTAAAATATGATTTCAAATAAATTTAAATTATTTAAAATCAAAATATTATGAATTAATTAGCATTTAAAATATGCAACTTATTGTGTCCACATTGCAGCAGCAGTAGTTTACCAAACCAAAAGCACTGTTTATGAAAACATGTTTAATGTGTGGAGAGTTTTAAAGTAAAAGGATACAGATAAATAAGCATTCTACGTAAATTAAATAAATAAATAAATAAATATATAAATGGATTTGTAGGCTACTAAGACACCCACTAAATGCTATTCAGTGTAACAATGCCTATAACAATCTTGACCTAACAATAATCATTTGATGACATTCATTCATTTATTTTCTTTTCGGCTTGGAATGACCCGCAAACATCCAGCTCATGTTTGTGCAGCGGATGCTCTTCCAGCTGCAACCCATCTCAAGGGAAACATCCATACAAAGTCATTTACACTCATACACTATGGACAATTTAGCTTACCCAATTTGCCTGTACCACATCTTTGGAATGTGGGGTAAACTGAAGCATTTGATAACGTATTCATTCAAATAATATATATTACTAAATGCAACATTCAGTTTGAATTGAAAAAACTTTTCTAATTTTGCTGCATAAAACATATGCCAGAGTAATTGGTGGTTCATTCTGCTGTGGCAACCCCAGGGACTCACTAATATTGAGTGAATAGTGAGTATTTTTTATTACCAATTAAAATTCCTATATCAAATCAGACAATTTAACTCTTTTTTCGAGTAAAACTTGGCTATTTAGCTTTTTTTAAAAAGGGGATAAATACTGTAATTACTCAAAAATGAACTGTACTCTTTTCCAGTGGATAACTGATATTACTACAATAACTACTTGCTTTGTAAATTATAATTCAGAATCACACATCAGGCCATAAATAACTCAAATCCCTAAAGGTTTTACCCATTTGTCAACAAATCTACAACAATGTAAACTATTGCATGATCACTTACACATACACACACATACATTCTACTTACATAATATTTTATGTATTTTTAATAAGATGAAAGTATATGAAAGTAAGAAGGGAAATGCTATTACAACGTATTCCCATACAAGAAAGACCTTTCCACTGCACACTTATATAATTTCATCGTATTTCCCCAGCACACCTTTCATCCTCATTTTTTTTTTCTTTTCATTTTTGGACAAACTAGCCTAATAATTTTACAGTTATTAATACTTTAAAATTAACTGTTGAGAATAACTTAAACTGTAACCCTCAAACTACAGTCTGTTTGGCGACCAAGGGTGGGAAACCCTGGGCTAGCGATGCTTGTTAAAGATAAACAAATCATATAGCGAACAGTTTAAAAATAGCTTCTCACACCATTGTTGGATAGTTTTTTCCAGGAATGCTGGAAGTTTTTCCTCTGACTCATGTCTCTTCCAACAGAAAACCAACCCTATAACTTCCCCACATCCCTCTGAAGTTCTCATCAAACACAAACCGGTGAAACAGATTCAGTTGCACCACCTGCTGGTTACACGTCTACATCCACGTCTATAGACAGAACTGGCCATAAATGCAACGCCTTGGGTTACTTATGAACCTTTACATACCATTAATATTCCCTATAGGTCAAGACACTACATGTGCATAACTTTATTACAAAGATAAACTATTTTATTTATAAACAATATATAATCAAATATAAAATTTTACAAAAATATACTAGTATATTTAAAAAAAAATTCTAGAATACCCATTCTGTTAAATTTTAATAAAACATTGCCGAATGTAACTGGAATTTTAAAAGAGAAGGTAAGAGTATTTAATATGCATAGACCTATAGTTTATTTTCATACATTCAGACTGATTTTTACTGTTTAAGAATTAGCATTTGTATAAAATCTAAAATCAATGAATTATCTTGAACCAATGATGAATTAAATTGGACTAAATGAATGACCCACAATCAGATAGAATTGGGACATATGAATCAATACAGATTTGGTAAATAAAGACAAATGGCCAATCTTGCCTTTATTCATGCCATAATGTTTTATTCATATACTTACCATTTCTTTTTTTTTTTTTTTTTGACGAGTGTTATTTTTATTTTTATTTTTTTGCCAGACCTCATATTGTATTATGTTTATCTTGTTTAGTCAATCAGCCTTTACATTTATATTATTTCTTTGAAGTAAATCATACCCAATTGCTACCCTAAAACTGTAAATTATCTCCCAAATCAGAGGAGATTATATAACAATGTAAAACTACATAACCCCGAGTGTAAGCCTAAACTTAACATCCACTGTAAACATGTCCCTTAAATTTGATTGTTTTCTAATAAAACAAACATGATGGTTTTCTAATGAAAACTTGAATGAACATGACACAGTGCTGTCACCTAGCGGTAAACTACTATCACTACACTAAAAGTAGAGAAAATTGCTTCCACAACAACCGTAAGCGACGGCTACAATCAGACAAAACCTATTGTTCATCTAATATTGAAAAAATAAAATAAAATAAAATAAAATCAAATAAAATACCGAACACAAGTTTCTCTGCAATGCATTGATTAAAGAACTCAACCCATGACCTGGCCTGCAATAAAGAGCATAGATTAACCACCAAAAGACTACAAATCTAAAAGAACAAAATTAACACCATTTGTGCATGTTAAGTAGACTTCCTGATGGCAGAATCTCAACTTCGACAATAAAAGGTAACACTTTATAATAATTATACACTACAATTTATTAAGCATTAGCAAATAGTGAATTCATTATCTGTTAACTCTACATTAACAGATGTTAGTAAGCAGTTTATGTTTATATTCTTGACTTATACGCACATTTGTAATGTGCTTAATGATTGTATTTTCATACTTTGTTAATTATTATTTTATTACTAAATTAAGTATTAATTTTTATTTATTTTTATTCACTATTTAAATAACATTTATTTATCTTATTATTATATATCATATAAAAAAGTTAATTTTTATGATAATAAATGCTATTTACTCAGTTTAACTCAACTTCATCCAGTTTTATGACCTAGTTAGGACTATGTATGCTTTATAAATCCCTTGTAAATGACAATTAAAGGCTAAGTTATATTCTAAAATAAATTACTTTATTAATTTCTATTCATTTGAAGATACATAAATAGAACGGCATATTTGCAGTCTTAACTAAAACAAAATTATAACATTGAAATGTTGTATCATACACTGCCAAAAATAACAAGAGCTGTCACTGGGTGGTACCTTTTCAAAAGGAACACAAGTAAATACTAAAATCAAAAGTATCAAAAGTATATATTAGTACTTACAAGTTTTAAGAGAAACACTTTTGTACTTTTTAGGTACCAATATGTACCCTTGAGGTATTAATATGGCCCTTTTAGGTAGAAATTTGTACTTTTTAAAAAGGTATCAACCCAGTGACAACTCGTGTATAGTGTAATATATTGTTTAATTATTATATTGTTTTTGTTTTACCCAATTTTGTTATATTTTGACACTCCTGTTATTCGTCAATGTTTAAACTGCACAGTAATTTTACTTTTTACATAAGATTGCAAAGATTTATTGTTCATTTGATACTGAGCCTTTCATTATCATGTATTAGAGGTTTGTATATCGTAAATAGTCCTCATGTTAGATTAGGTCACACAATTAGATGAAGTTGAGGTAATAAAGGATTTATTAACAGAAACATATATTAGTTTATGCCTGAATAATAATATATAAACGTTGATTTGAATCGGTAATTATTCATTTGCTCATTCTGAATGATCTCAAAAAAAAACAACTAGGCCTACTCTAAAATGCAAATTTGTAAATATTGCAATTCTACACTTACAAAGTATTAAAGTACAATTATTAAGCACATTTTAGATTAAGCACAATTATAAACTGCTTACTGATGTCCATTAATGTAGAGTTTATGCTTAACAAATAATGAATTCACTGTTTGATAATGCTTAATAAATGGGTCATAGTGTGTAATTATAAAGTGTTAAACTACATGGTATATAAAGAAAAAAAACAAAAATGCACTATAAAACAAACAAACAAACAAACAAACAAACAAACAAAAAACAAAATACATCATATTTGTGTGCATGTGTGTGTGTGTGTATAAAAGGCCAAGGTACTGTAGGTGAAACAAATGTTTGGCAGATTTTTATTTCAAAACAGCTTCTTGGCTTTCCAGAAGCCAAAATTGTTCCAACACCACTAGTTAAAACATATCAATTTATGCAAATTTGGCAGGTAACCTCATGTTCAAAACTTTAAAAATGAATTCAAATCATGTAATTCTAAAAGACAGGACACAAATGTTCAGAAAGTCAAATAAAATCCATCTCACATTCTTCATGAATGAAACAGGCTAATTTACAGTTTTAATTTTGTGGGTTAATGAAAATGTTAAGAGTCAGTCATGACAAAAGCACTTATGGTGAATGCCCTTCTGACATTATGCAGACTGAATGTCATTGAACTATACAACATTTGTGAGAAAACATTTCACCATCAAGCCCGCAAACCACAATGCAAGTGAATAAAACATGTTCAAGAAGTGTTTATAGTGTAAACAGTGAACTGAACGTAAGAAGCTGAAGTAAACAGAGGAGATCACCAACAATGCTCGGTAACAAAAGGATATGAAACTTGTGCTGGTGTCAACATGAATTTTTTCTTTTGTGTGTGTGTGTAAACTGCAGAATGTGTTAAGAAACATGGAGGGAAAGTGCATCAATAACTTGGGAAACAATTCTGAAACTAAACATTATGGTTTCACCATTTGAACATTTTTTTTTATTATTAAAAAATATATTAAAACCTTACTTTGACGGCGTTGTCCCACTTGAGATTTAAAACCAAACCCAACATTTAAGATGCATCCGATACTTTACCTCTACATTTTTATATTTATATATAGATTTTCTTTTTTTTTTTACAAAATACATAACACTGATTTCTAATAAATGGAAGCACCTGTAAAAAATAAAATAATTCATCGGATTATACAGGAGAGCAGTCCATGCTCTGTGGGGTTAGTGTCTCTGAGTTGGCTGGCTTCACAGTGCATGGCAGCAGTCCTTTCTCAATGGGACAGGCCTGAGGCACTACCCTCTGAGTCTTGAATGTCCCTGGGCTTATGGGTAAAGGATTTGATGCTAAAGTTCCACCTCTCCTGTGGTCGGTCGCTCTGGGCTGGAGGAGTTTCCTCAGCAGGCTCTGGTTGGGGCGATACGGGAAGGTAACCCTGGGCCTGAAAAATGTCCTCCTCTTCTTCCTGCTGGTGGAGATCCAGCATTTTAGAGCTGCGCAACACAAAGTCATGGCGGGTCTCTAGTTCAGTGACGCCATTGCCACTAAACGTCAATCCATCATCGCCCAACTCATTTTCCAGCTGATGAACCCAGGTGTCTCCGCGTGGAAGGGGGCTCACTTTTGTCGGGCGGCCTTCCGGGAGTTCATTAAGAGACTTGAGGTGACTTTCTTGAAATGTTCTTGGGGTCAGGTCTACTGAGGGACCTGCGGTTGCGAGGTTCTCTAGGATGAGGGATCCAGCTCCACTGGCTTCCTCCAGGACCCCGGAACCCAGCTCTACCAGGGGATCAAGCTTATCGGTTTGGTTGAGTGTCTTTAAATTTCTCAGCAGTGCAAACATACTATCTACATCCTTCCAAAAGTTCATCCAGTCATCCAGAACGGGACTGTAGTTGTGTCTGTGTTCGTACAGACTCTCGTTCATGCTGTACAAATCTGCCAGTCCTTGCCAGTCGACGTCCTCTGTGAAATTGGGCAGCTTAACCTTTGTGGACGTCCCAGGTTGGCTGTGTTCTGAGAAACGGGAGAAGCGGGGAAAAGTCAGTAAGGGCTGATGACTGCTGCGCAGAAATGCTTTGCTTTGGATTGCATCTAAAACATGCAGTTATTCCCGGCCTACTTGCACCGAGGGGTTTTGAAATAGTGCCCTGCACACCGCCGCAGTGCTTTTTTTAGCCTTAGACCAATAGAAAAGCTCTATATTGAAGCAATAAAGCAGTGTGAATGCAGATCAAGACAACAAACGTCCTCCAGACAGACACCCAAAACCAATACACCATAAAGGGTGCACAAACAGACGGAAAAATCTGTGCAATGAAGGTCAAACCAAATAAAACATCCAACAAGAGATGGAAAAGATGGAAAATCCTGGAACCAAGAAATCAGTACATAAATGTGAAGTTAAAGGGTGGGCAAGAGGTTGGAAATGAAAATCTGCAAAAACAAAAGCGTGTTAAGGAGCGCAAGAGAATGAAATGAGCATTTCCAGAGTGGGTCAGACAGTAACTGATGGCCTATGAGACACGAGCCGCTCTGAACCAGAACTGCCACTCAAGTCCGGGCCTATGGAGATGTGTTGCGCAGGGGAGAACTACTTGAGAGTGGAATGAGAACAGAAACAGCTTTGTATGGTCTCAAAGACTCACAGAAATGAAACGCTTGGCCTCCTCAACTTTGACCATTTTCGATGCTGCTGTGGCCTGGTAAGCAGGTAATCCAAAAAAAAAAAAAAAAAAAAAACAGATGTCAAAGAATGTTCTAGGACTGAGAGCTCTAAGATTTGCTATTCCCCAAATGGTATGTATGAGCAGCCAAAGTCTTAGGACCAGATTTACTAACCGCCAATGCAATGTGTCAGGTGGACTTAAAATAGTTTTTTTTCTCAGGTATATGAACGATTTTGTGGAATTTGTACCATTAACTCCCACAAAAGTGCAAAAGCTTGACACAATCTGGGGTGCGTTTTCAAAAACCATGGTTAGGCAACTAAAGTCGCAAGTTGGGTCGTTACAAACATAGTTTGTTAATTTGGCGTTTCCCAAATCCATCGTTCCAACGAACATTAGCAAACGGCTTGGCAAACATGTATGCTTGCAACTACACCTCTAGTGCTGTAGTTAGAAACATAGGTCCTGGTTGTGTTCTACTCCCAGTTATCCCACCTATATTCATTTAGAACATTCTGACATTTAAACTTGGAATTATAAAAAAATATATATATACAAGTCATCTCTCTTAGGTGTACTTTGCTTTTAAAGTAATTTAACAGTTCAGTTTTAGCGATTTTCAGGTTTACAATTGCGCTCCCTCCACAGTGCACTTTGAAAACATTGATGGCATTTTGAACATAGTCATGGCTCATGACAAAAGCTATAGATGACCTATTATTTAAGCTTAAATTTAATTTATGTTACGTCTCTAAAGCTTGTGAAAATAAAAAAACATAGCAGACGTTATTGCTTTTAATTTATAGTAGGTTATTTATATATCTGTACTGTGCATGACATGGGCATGTTGATTAGCACATTTCTACAGTTGTTTGCATTTGTCAAATTGTAAAAGTAGTCCTAGAGTAAAAAAATAAAATAAAATAAATAAATAAATAAACAATATCCTACTTAATTATAATTATTATTATAATAATAACCATCATCATCATCATCATCATCATTATTATAAAAGTAGGATTTTTTTTCCATTTACTAATAAATATTAAATATTAAATTTCATGTCTTAATAAATAGCCTCATTATTCATGCTTAATGTAAGTGTTAGCTTTTGTAAGTGATTTTACGTTTTAGAATAGAATATGGATATATAATAAATAGATATAAATAAATCAAATATATGTTATTAAATATGAAAAACGAGTGTGTTTTTACCAAAAATAATATTGGATTTTTTTTCAATGCGTGTGCATGTAAAACAATATAATTTGCACAAATAAATGATGGGGTTCTTTTCTAAAGAAGTTGTTACGACCCTGTTTAGAGCATCATTATGGGCGTTTTTCGCTATAACTGACATGGTTTAAACAATGCATCTGCAACAGAGAAACTACAGGTTTAGGAAACACTCGTCACTACATTCATTTCCTAAATGATTCATTCTTCTGTAATAGTTCAGCTGTGAGTTACGTCGTTGTTTGGGAAACATACCCCTGATAGTTTTGTTGTGTTCGTTTATTTGACACGTGATTTTTTATTACACTCTCTCTAATTTGTGTTGATCATTATGAAAATGAACTGTGTTTTGCACATAATAAGTTGATCATCAGAAAAAAAAAAAAAAAAAAAAAAAAAACTTTCACTCACGTTTGTGATTTTATGGGATTTCATGCTATTTTTCCCTGTTTAGTAAATCTGGCCCTTAATTTTTTTTTACTTATTTTTTTTTTCTAAATAATTCCAGTTTAAGTTACACCTACAGAATGAATACATTAATTTAATGAACAACAACAAGCAGTCAAATGGGAGTTAAAATTAGATGAATGAATGAATTTGGGGTTTTAATAGCTAGTTTTTTAATGTGATTTTTAAACATACTTAAATTGTTAGCTTAACCCAGCATGCAATCACACAAACTTAGCTCAATGAAACATGGCATATTAGTGAAAACAAGCTGCCCATGCAGTTATTTCAAAAGCCAATGAGGGATTCAAAAAGTATGGATACCTGTGTTGATCATAGCTTCCTCCATCTTTACTTCCTGATCAGGAAAATAAGAGCAATTCAAATGTTTAATGTCTTTTGCGATTTAAAAAAATAATAAACAAACAAAATCATTGCAGTTCTTCATGCATAACCCCCAACTCCTGAAGAGAGGTATTGTTAGATTAAAGAAACAATGAAGAAATGATGACGTGAAAGATGAATGAGGAAATATCCTCTGATGCTCCTGAAGAAAAAGCTGGTACAGAAGTGTAGTGTTAAAAATGGAATGAATGTTACATGATGGGATTATGTTAACAGTGTTGAAGTTGCAAATAACATGAAAATACACCAACATGCAGACTAATTGACATGCATCTGTTTTTTGTAATGTTTTGTTTCATTACTAAGTGGAAAATACTACTTTGTATGCCTTTCTTAATTCGATCAACATAAACATGAGTACTGTAGGGATGTGTACAAGTGTGGACACCTTTAAAGGAATAGTTCATTGAAAATAAAAACCATTTTGGATAAAAATCAACATTAGACTCTTGTTGTTTAAGACCCTTAATGGATTTAAAGTAACACAAAGTAGAAGTTTAGCAAAATGTTCATGCTGCTCTATGCTCACTTCAAAATTGAGTAGTGACTATAAGCTGAATTACAAAAAGAAAAAGTAAGCAATAATACACAATTCGAGAGTGTGTGAAATATATCAAGTAATTAGAAAAAAATTATCATTGTTTAAATAACCTAAAATAATGCATGAGTGGAAACTTTACAAATTCACTTTGTATAGAAGAATAAGTTGTTTTGATAAAAAAAAACGAGCTATATAGACCTAAAATTGAAGTAAATGCTGACCTTTTTGACCAACATATCGATTAACTGTCACAAATAGTACAAATCAAACCCTCCAAAAAAAAAAAAATTAAAAAAAAAAGTTGCTGACCAGTTATTTAGAAGCTACAATGACTTGTATAATTAAAAATAAGCATAAATGCAAACATTTCAGAAGCTTTTATATCTATTCTGTTTGAAAAATCCATTATTCCTCATTGAAAATCATATCAGAACAGTAAAAATCTCTATGGTCTAATCCAAAATCCAAAACACCCAATTTTATAGAGACCCCTTCCTCCCCACTAATAAACCAAGACAAAAACTAATTCTTTGTAACCCTTTAACTACCCTGTCAAGAAAAAAGAAAATGTTTTTATTGCATTTCTTAACTCCTATTGTTGCTAGTTAACACACCTCAATGCATTTTTTATAGCACATCCCATAACTTCAAAAATATCTACCAAATGGTTGATATGTTGGTTTATGGTAAAAGTATTGGACTTAATACATATACTACACTGTAAAACCCAACAGTCAACTTTATCAAATGAAATAAGTGTAGTTAATTCAAAATTGACTGAAAGTTCAATCTACTCATTTGAAAAGAGTTTTGAACTCAGTGACGAATGTAATGAGTTAATTAAAATACCTCATTACTTCAGCTTAAATAGAGTAAGTTCACAGTAGTCATAGAGAATTTTTTTTTTTAACTCAAATGGTTTGTAGCAATTGGTTTCCTCAAACAATTTGAGTTGCCGCAACTTATTGGGTTTCTCAGTATTCTGTACTGGTTTGAGTTCTCTTCATTTATCAGGATTTACTGTGCTCAAATTGTTTAAATTACTCAAATTAAGTTGATAGTATTCATTAGGATTAGTTTTTGAACTTAAATGGTTTGTTGCAATCAGTTTCCTCAGATGGTTTACGTTACCTTAACTTTTTAGGTTTGACAGTATATGAAAAATCTGAAAATATGAAGTGTAAGACCAATTTATTTTTTAAAAAAGATAAAAAATAAAGCATTTTTGAATACGAAATCACCCTTTTTAAGTATGCCATCAGATATTTCAGATTCACATTTAACATGTTTTCTTGTTTTATTTTTTTTTTATAATAAAACCAAAATCAAGTGTAGTAGTGCAACAGGATACTTGTTTGATTTTTGTTTTGTAAACCAACAGTGCTGTGTGTGAAGCCATTATCTAAAACAGCCATTCTTTAAATGACTTGAACAGTCATTATTTAAAACAGAAAAACATTTAAACTCTCGAAATTGCACAAAGGTTTTTACACCTACAAATATAAAAGAAAGCATCCCTTTACAAGTTAATTGGAAATACATATTCACTGAGGGAAAAAATATAAAAGTATGAGACGATGTGAATGCTAGGCTGCTGAAATCACAGTCCCCTGCTGATGGAATGAAATGGAAAAAAAAGTTAAAGGGATATAAAGTGATAAGCAGATGATTTAGAGAGAAACCAAACTCAGTGCCAACCCTCGTCATCCACCACCTGAGATTGTGCCACACGTCATCCAACAAGTGCTTGATCCCATCATGCATCAGTAAAACATGCTTGACCACATGTTGCTAAATATTCATCACTTTCCTCATAACTTGGACTAAGAAAGCTTGGCAATTTTCTGTTAAAGCATGTGTTACTAAACATTTAGGACATTCTCATGTTAAGTGCTTACATCATCCCTGCTGAAATACAAAAACAACCTTAAATGAGCCAAAGCTGGTCTGGTGGTTAATTTCATAGGGTATTTATTTTACCACTTCAGACGGACAAGCAGAGAACAGCTAAAGGGCAGCTTAACCAAATAGGGAAACTATTTTAAGCGTGCTAAAATCATATTATGAACCTAATATGCTTGAAATTCCCCCAAAAATAAAGGTCAACAAACTCAGGTAAAAATTAAGCTATTTAAATTTTCAGCTATTTAAAGGTATGGTTCACCCCAAACTAATTTCATTAAAAAGCATTTACCTTATTCCACACATAAGAAAAGATGGAACAATGGTTTTTTGAGAGTATATCAGGATTTGATGTCTGGTTTAATCTGTTTTTTCTTTCTTTTTGTTTTACTATGATGAATCAGACTTTCAGATTTGGGTATTAAAAACCAAAATGAAAGCGAGCTAATGGCTTTCATCCATCATTTCCCACAGAACAAATGGTGCAAAAACAGGAAAGAAGTGTTACCTGCATCTGAGCTTCTGGGTCTGGGGTTGCACTGCTTGTGGCCCTGACAGCTCCTCATTTCCATTAGCTGTGAATGTAGCTGACTGAGAATATCCTTCTCCACTGTATAAACTGCATTGGTTAGCTAAAAACAAATAAAAACAAACATAGGATGCAAATACTGGAAATAATACTTCTTAAGGAGCTGTTGAGATGGTATTGAACCAGATTTGGTTAAAAATCCAAACAATACAAACATAAAAAAATCAGAAAAATAAGTTATGTGTAATAACAATGAAACGACACAAGGAGAAAGTACTGAACTACTGAACCTATTTAGTAAACCATATAGAGAATGAAGTTATCAGTTGTGAGTTTTTCAGACTTTAACAGAGTGTAAAAACCTTGATGTTTCTGTGAGTCTCGTCTATCAAATCTGATCTTTGATTTGTATTTTCTGTTGGATTCACATCAGGTGATTGGCTGGGCCATTCTACGGCTTAATTTTTTTCTCTGAAAGCATTTGAGAGTTTCCTTGGCTGTGTTTTGTGTTTTGTATCATTGTCTTGCTGTAGTGTTTATGTAATAATGTAACGTTCGCAGACTAGTTTCATCTTCATCATCCTGATAATGTAGAATTTTTGAAGATTTTGAAGCAATATTAATTTACAATGACAAAGGGCAGAATGTTGCTGAATAACACTGAGCGAGTTCAGCTGCTGTCTGGGATTTCACAACCTTTCTACAGCACCCTTTCTTCATGTGTTCAATCCTTTCTCCCTGTGCCTTTTTATTTTATTACACATAACTTCATTTGAAAAGTAATTAATATTGTTTTCTTTGCATATATGGATTTCTTTGGTTGTTACCAACATCCGGGGAAAATTTCAAGTCAACGGCACCTTTAGAAATATGTCATCTGAGAAAAATGTTGATGTGTTCAATACTTAATTTGCCCGCTGTAAAAATTTAACTGGTGAAAAATAAGAATGTTTTGAGGTGGTGTGTTTACATCTTACCATGTCGACACTCATTTAATAAGATTCAATAGGGCATTTTAAATCTCAAATATCAATTTTAATATGTCAAATATCCTCACCTGGTACGGGTCACTGTTTAGGTCAAAGTACTCCAGGAAGCCAGTTGCAAATTCACAGAAGAGTGTGTTGTGAGTTTCATTAACCGTCCTCAGACACCAGTATGTATTGTTATTAGAGCTTGTACAGGCACAGAATCCACCTACTATTGAGAGAGATATATTTGTATCAACAAACATATTCATTTGACAAAAACAATCCATTTATACTCTTATTCCAGCCTGAGCCTACGAGAAAGCTTACACATTTTAAATACTGGCTAATTATTAATTACATAGACGTATAATTGCAATTATATATTTTTTCTTTTAAAAAAAAAATTTTAGATAGACCTATCTATCTCAGCCTACCACTCATTGGAGATGAGGAAATTACACTAAAATGTACAAATGAGATCTTATAAATCCATATGAATTAGCTATTAAATTGAAAAAGTTGTATTGTATGCTTCTCAAAACTGACAGTAGGTTCATTGTTTTGATTTACCAAACAAATCAGATATGTATTCATTTTGTATCTTAGGTTTAGTTTCAACAATGACAACACACATTAATGACATCATTACATAATGTGAATATAATCAGTTAAATTTCCTTTTACTTTTAAGTCTAGACTCCTGACCTAGTGAACTGAACTATAAGGGTCAACTACAAAAAAAAAAAAAAAAAAAAAAAAAGTACACTTATAAATTAACAATAGTCCAAAATATGTACTATAGTATAAGTAAAAAATGCTGGGTTCCACAAAATCGTCTTGTGATGGGACAACATGAAAGAATTGTGGTAACTCTGAATTGCAAATGAAGATAAAACAGTTAGTTGTCTAAAAAAACTCAAGTAATGTTTTAAATAAGTTTTAAATAAGTAATTTGAACAAACAGCAAGAATAATATTTTGAGTGTACAACCGAAAGTTTTACAGTATTACTGTAAAAAGTACATTTAATTCACAGTTTATTGCTCTGAATAATTCATTTGGGCACTGCACCTCAACCAATACCATCTCTTGTTTTTTGTACCAAAAAAAATTTGCTTACAATTCCAGAAGGGGGCTGTCTGCCAGTGGTCATTATTATGTGTGAAGCAGGTGAGGCCAGGAAGACTGCAGTCGTCGCCTTTCTTCTGCCTCTTCCTCACTTTCCTCTCTTTCTTCCTGCGACGAATCTCATTGTATAGTTGAGCTTTGCTGTCCACTTCCTGCATGGCCTCTCTGGTGGCACAAATAAATGAGACATTAGAGCCAGAGTGAAAGGGAACGCCGTCCCAGGTGAATTGCACAATGATTGGGGGAGTCAGACCAGCCTGCACTCCACATAAATGGGGTCAGAGGTCCTGGGAAAAGTGAAAGGATCGTGTACTCACCACCCTCTCCTAAAACCACAAGATGCAATTGTTTATGCTTCAAAATGAGTTTTATGCTAATGGTTATGGGTAGAGGCTATTGTATACTTAGGAAAAGAGCTCTTAATGTAATGACCCTGACAAAACTGTGACCAATGGACTGAAAAGAACTCCGTACAGACTGTTCAACAACAAGTAAACATGCATGCATGCGACAATACATGAGTCAAAGGCAAAATCGCTCATTTTGAATCCATTTACATTTAAGTTTTATAGGCATAGAAATTAAAATATTGTGTCTATTTTAATTTTTAAAATAACTTTTGTCTTCAAATTATGAGTGTATTATGGTGTATCATCATACAGCATTACATATACATGTAAAACAACAACAACAAACACTTCTATTCTAGTGCTTATAAGAATACAGAAAAGAAAAAAATAGTGATCATAAAAGATTTGATTATATTTTAAATTATTAAAATATATACACCCATATTGGTAATAGTAATATAGCAACATCAATGTGTTTCAAATCACCCAGTTGACAAAGTGTGTTAGAGATGCCACAGTGATCTAGACATCCAGCATTACATTGACAAAGAGAAAACACTAAAGACGATAGACAGGCACATCATGAACACACACCAACAAAATAAAAAATAAATAAAACTCACTTAAAGGGATGGAGGTGGTCATTCCTATTCTTCAATCTCTCGGGTTTGTTTTTCTGCTCTCTTTCTTTGCTAAAATAGCTGGTTGTAATAAGGAGAGAACAGCACTAAATTCAATTCAAGTCTGATTTTTTTTTTTAAATCTCTGGAACTTCTAAAAATAGAAGTCGAAAACAAAATCAGAATTGTTAAGTATTAGTTTGGGACTTGTGGAGCTGTGTATCGATGGATTTGCTCTTTAGTGTTTGGACTTTCAGCAGTAAAAATTAAATCACACTCAACTGAACTTCAATTCTGAAAACTGGACTGACAAAGTTTCAATTTACTAGAACTTCTATGTTAAGCTGCTTTGACACAATCTACATTGTAAAAGCGTTATAGAAATAAACATGAATTAAAAAAAAAATTGAATATTATTGTTTTGATTTAAAACGAATTATCTTTTTAACCTGGATTGAAAAATTCAGATTTTGTTACTGGATAAATATCAAACTTAAGTGATTAACATAAAAAAAGTGTTAATATAATAAGATTCTTTTAGAAAAAGAGACATTGTAACCTTTTTTTAATTTCAACATGACTTTTTTTTGGAAACATTACTGATATGACTGGTTTTTAGTGTTGTATGACCTTTAGAAAACACTAATGTTAAAGAAAGTTTTAATCAGTATCAAAAATATTCATGCCATTTTACTTTTTCTTTAAAACAAGAACACTACTTGTTTTTCACAATTCCTTGATGTATAGAATTTTTTAATATGAAAATATGTTTAACACATTGAACAGGAGAAAAAGTTTATTACTGTTAAACGGTTAAACTCTACAACAGGGGTGTCAAACTTAGTTCCTGGAACTCCAAAGCTCTGGACAGTTTAGTTGCAACCCTGCTTCAATTCACCTACCTGAAGGTTTCAAACAAGCCTGGACTCAATTAGTTTGATCAGGTGTTTTTAATTAGGGTTGGAACTAAACTGTGCAGAGCTGCGGCCATCCAGGAACAATGACAGGAAGACAATCCAGGAAGTTGGAGAGCTGTGGCCTACAATAAAAAGTATACTCTAAATATAAAAAGTGCCATATTTATCACTTTTAGATTAACAATGCACTGAATTTAATAACTAACAAAACAAATAAATACAAAAAAATAAATAAAACTTTTAACAAAAAATTTAAATAAAAATTGAAAAGATATTAAAAAAAATATTTGTACTTCAAAGTTTCTTTCCATTTAAACTAATGTAAAATTCTTTACTGGTAATGCACCTTCACTAAATAAAAACATAAATTGCTTTCAAAAGGCTCAAACTTTTGAATAATATGAATGTAGTAAACAGGACAAGGAGTAGAATGATGACCATTCATTTTCCCATGGTCTTCTCAGAGTTACATCCAAACAATCCATTTTACATGACTCAAAATGACACAAATCAAAGACAAATGTCAACTGACCTTTTCTTTGAGCAGTCACACTCATCTGGTCTCCTCCTCTTTAAATGACCTCTAACCTCTCGCAGTTTCTTCATTTTATCTTGAAGTTGTTCGATCTAAGAGACAAGCATTTGAAAATCAATAATGCGATTTTAAAGGCAGACATTTGAAAGATAATTCAAGTTAGCTGAACAGGGGTTACCTCATGATCCACAAAGTTCTTGTGGTCTTTCCATGCTCTGGAAGACTGGTAAATCTCTCTTTCACAGCGCACAGTGTCGTTTATTAAAATGAAACACCTGTGAAAAGAAAAATTAAGTCAATTTGGCCAAATGTTAGACATATTGGTTTGACACATTTTTGAGGTTTCTATAATTTTTAACATTTAATGGAGAAAAAAATGGCTATTACCATATAAATTGAGCATACCTAATAGAATAAAAATCTACTTTAAGATTCTGTAAAATATTTACCCCTGTAATGCATGTTTATCAAAAAATACTGTCATTAATACTGTAGATAGATAGAAAGTTTTTTTTTTTCTTTTAAACAACATTTCATCACTGTTTTGGAACAATATATGCTTTACCAAGGGTACCTTGACTTTTAATTTTCACTTTAAGAAGGATGTTTTTTGTTATTTCAAAAACCTAAATCTTCAGAAACTACTGTGAAATTTTTTATACTTGCTGGGAAATTCTATTATCTACACTGTAAACAAATATATATATATATGATCAATTAGTCATGACAGCATATGTTTTAGGGCATTGTAACTCATTAAACCAAGGTAATCATACTCAAAAAGTACAAAAAATGTAAGACAACCAGGATTCTTTTTACAGTGTACTCTTACAGACTTCTTTTGAGAAGTCAAACAATTAATCGACTCACTTATATTAACTGATAATTAGAAATGTGTTTCTTTTTTGAAGAAATATGATGAGATTTTTCATGCAGCCTCATTTAAATTATTTTTGTTTAATTATATTAAAATTAGTTCTCTTTTTTCCTGTTTATCCTATATGAAAATCATGTAAAACGATTTTATTCATTTATTGTATTCTTTATGTCTTTATACAGTTTCTGATATCGGAAGGCACAAAAATAAACACGCCCATAACTTAAAATCACGCCCCTTTTTGATTTCTCAACTCTAATTACAAGACACACCCCTACTGCTGATTGGCTGCAAGTGGATTTTGGATATTGGTTCTAACACATTTTTTTTAATAACAATAAAATAAAGATTATGCTTCGAGGCTTACTTGTGGGTGACTTTGAGAGAATTCGGGTACCCCACAGCATTTGTGTCATCTGACTGCATCTCCTCGGATCCGTCATCAGACTCCAACCCAAAGTCCGAATCAAAACCTGGCTCTGGCTCATAGTGGCGCTTGCTGATTGGTCGAGGCTCGAGTGGCGTTTTATCATCAGCCTGCAGATCAACGTCATAGATTTCCCCCTCAAACTCGACTGACAGGGATCTGGCTGGCCGTGTGTGCACAAAACGAGGTCTGTATCCTGAGGGAGGACATCAGTGTAAGCTGCACATATTTCAATGTTTATGATCCATAGCTAAAAAGCAGGGGTGCCGCAGCCCTGCACAGTTTAGTTTCAACCCTGCTTCAGCACACTTAAGCTGCAGTCACAACCCCATAGACTTCCATTCATACGCACACGAACGCATCAGACCGAAAACGCAAGGTCATGTGGCAAGTTTCGCAGGTTGATGCAGTGCAAAGTTCAAGCTTGGTGAATTTATCTTGAAACATGGTGAAGTTCAAGCTTGGTAAAATCGCATCACTTGACTGCGTTAGACCAATCTAGGATCAAAACATGACCTCTTCTGGACAGAAATTCAAAACATAGACAAATCGCTAGCTTTTTTTGCAGCGACATACAACAGAACTTCGCACACATAAACTCAAGTGTGACCACAGCTTTACCTAGATCTCAAACAAGCCTGACACACTCAATTAGTTGGATCAGGTGTGTTTAATTAGGGTTGAAAGTAAACTACAGAGCTGCGGCCCACCAGGAACTGAGTTTGACACGTGATCTAGAGACAAACTGCTAGAGCTGACACAAAGATGTGTTATGTCAGCTCTACACCAACAGATGGAAGCACAAAAATGTGATTCAATGTTCAATGTTCTTCAATTATAGTTAGAGAAAAACTTTTTTTTGCAGTGGTTTATCTGCTAGATTTCATGAGATTATTTCATAATAATGATAAAATAATGTAGTAAATGTTACATCATCGTTTTAATGCCACACATGGTATTGCGTACACAGCTTTACAAAATGTAATTTGAGTACAATTTTACATTTGAGACAATTTGTGTAAATCAGTCAGCAGTTATTTTTTTTTGTCAGCAAATAGTAATAAATATAGTAATAATGTAGCAGTACAAATTTAGTTAAATGCTTCTGTGCTGTCCATCGAGTTTATGCCTTAAGTGCATGTCTAGTTTTATTAGTTGCATTTTTTATTTAATTATCTTCGCCCCTTTATGTTCAAGAGATCCTTACTGTTTTTAAACTGTACTTTTGAAGATTTTGAATTAAATGTTGAATAAATAGACCATCAGTGGCAATTAATGCATGTCAATATTGTAACAAAATACTGTATTTGTATGACAATATTTTAAATGAATTGTTGTTTTTTCTATTCATAAAATATGCCAAAGGCATTCAGTTGAGCTTTTAAAACATATTTTCAACATTGTTATGCTAATAATAATAATAATCAATTATTCAAAAGCTCCATATAACAATGACTTCATATCACTCAAAACTTGAGAATTAACTGACTGAAAAAAAAAATCAGAAATTCACATTTTAACAAACATTAAAATGCAGAATTAATAAATAGTTTTCCACCACAGTATTTTACTGTATTTTGAGTGGTTTGCTTGAATACATTTAAAGCAGGGGTGCCCAAACTCAGTCCTGGAGGTTTGGTGTCCTGCATAGTTCCAACCCCAATTAGACATACCTTTACCAGCTAATCAAGCTATTTCTGTATACTTGAAACTTCCTGGCAGGTGTATTTGAAGAAACTTGAAGCTAAACTATGCAGAACACCGGCCCTCCAGGACCGAGTTTGGACATCCCTGATTTAAAGTAAGCATTACTGCTTTCATAAACATACATTTTTTTACAGATTTTTACTACTGTTCTCTAATATATTTCCCCTATTTATTATAGTTAATGAATTTAACTAAATGATGAGTATTTTGTAGCCCAATACTGAGGTTTATTCTTCATGGGATTCAAACCATTAGTATTTAGAAATCAGATTCTTCCCAGTCACACTGACTCAAATCTATTCACTTTCTGTAGCATACAGCATTTATCCACTAGGTGGCGACGAGTGAGTTAATTTCAACCCACAGTCTAAAAAGTTCACTGGTGTGTAGCCAACCCTACATTAGGGCTGTTCAGAAAGTGCCACTTTTCTGCATAGTTTAGCTCTTACGTCAGCACACCTGAACAAGTGAATCAAGGTCATGAGACTTACTAAAACATCTTGACAAGTGTGTTGAAGCTCTGCACGATCAAGATTGGACAGCTGACAGACTCAATCCATCATCTTGATCTTTCCTCTTCACTCATTGAGCAGTTGCACTCATGAATTGAGTTGTCAAAATGTATCAATACTCCAGTATGTATGGATACTAAAATATTTGTATTTTTTTTTCAGAACAAGGAACTTCCATTCAAAAGAACTTAAATCATTTTTAAAAACATTAATAGCTATGTTTGGCTCTTTACTCTGTTTTATCAAGAAAATAACATTATATTTGTTTTTACAATGTATTATTGCAAATTTGCTGTTTAAAATGGAAAAGTGCATCCCAAATTGCATATCTACACACTATTTTACACCATTTTGTAGTGTAAATAACATAAGTAGTGTGTTTACACTGAAAATTTTAAAAGAAAAGAAACAAGCTCATTTAAATACTCCCATCATGCAATTTATTCAACTGAAAAACACTTCATGCACATGTTTGCAGCTTTGCTCACATAGCGGAAGGGCAGGAGCTATCAAGCACTGAGGTTGGATTACTTTATTTTGGATTGTGCAAGCAAAATTCTCCTACGTAAATGAAAATGCCGCTATCAACAATGAATGTGGTTATACTCCTGACAGGTATTTGGTAATTTGGTCTCTTATTTAACTAATTTGCCACTGTTAAACATCGATTGTGAATTTCCATTTAAATTTTCCGCAAAACAAAATGTTAGAGTTCCATTTGAGATGACACTAAACTCTTATACAAAATGTTTGAGTGCATAAACATATAAGAGTATATAGTGTTATTTGGGACACAACCATACTTACGTGGGTTACTGCTCTGTCCGAATTGTCTGTGTGCCCGTCGTGCTGCTTTGGCTGCTTTGTAAGGCCGTTCACCACAATGGCAGTCTTTCTCACGGTTGTCGTAGCTTCGTGATCGCAAACTCCTCGTCCTCTTTTTAGATCCCTCCTTCAGAGAACCCTTACACTTCTGCAAACGCCACTTCCCGCTGACCTCCTCTACACAGTGCCATTTCTGTACCAAAAACAGAAGGAATTTAGCTGCAGGACAGAGATTTTTGTGTGGCGAGCCACTTATTGTGCTGGAGCCGCCTCATTTGCATAACCACAGATGTTTTTATGAATGAAATGAATCTTCTGTCTGTGAGCGGCTGAGAGCTTAGCGGTCAAACATCTGCGCCTGTGAAGTAATCCCATTAATTCACAATCACACGGCACAAGAGCCACCTCACAATTCTTTCCCATAAAGAAGCAATCTGAAGACAATTTAGACTTAATCTCCTAATTTCTCAGAGCTGTTTGCTTTGTAAACTGACCACGGCTCAGACATGTGCACAGACAGCTATGGGAAACCACATCCAAACAATGGCCACAGCCCTGCTCTGGTTTCCTGCGAAGCTCTGGAGGCCCGTCAATGAGTTTATGTATCTGCGGGTGATGCTGTATCTGTTCACAGTGAGGATGTTTATTTGAAGGGCGGCAAACCAAAAAGGAGTAAGCCAAAGCTAGTTTGAGCACTTTCACTCGTTAGTTTCCTCCAGACGTATCGGCCAAACACGCACACTCACTAACACACATTGAGCATGTACCTTACATCCACACAGAAACTGGCTCCACATAGCCAGAAGTCAAACAGACGTAAGCAAACAGTGGCACAGCCAACTATGTGAAGCCTCGCTACTTGAACGACGGAGACACGACTCAGACTCAGGAAGAAACGTTCACACAGCCTCAATCATACACACTGCCCTCATTGACACTGCGGCAGGAGCAAGGTAGTGTAGTCTTTGCTAGGTTTTTTTAACACATTACTACTTCTGAGAAAGAGAATGAGTGTATATTGAAACCAAAACAGATACTGATACTCTATTCAAGCTAAGACTTGATCTGGATGTAGCAGACCATAACTTCTACAAGCTTTGTCTGTGCTCAACACCTAAACCATGTCAATCTTTTTAGAGTAAATTATACACAAGAACAATAGTAGAGTTCACCAGTAAGAGGGAGGTGAACAGTAATAATTCTACAGAACTTTTAAAGCAGTTTAAGCTTGCATTAAAAAAAAATGCTAAACAGTGACATCAATCAAAAACATTTATATCTATCGAGTTACATTATATCAATCAACAATGTCTATATCTGTTCCCTATTTAGATCCAACAATCCATCCATCCATTCATCCATCCATCCATCCATCCATCCATCCATCCATCCATCCATCATTTATCCATCCATCCATCCATCCATTCATCCATCCACACATCAATCAATACATCCATCCAACCCACCCATTCATCTATCCATCCATCCAATCCACCCATTCATCTATCCATTTATCCATTCATCCATCCAACAATCCATCCATCCATCCATCCAACTATCCATCCAACTATCCATCCATCCATCCATCCATCCATCCATCCATCCATCCATCAATTCATTCATCCATCCATATAACAATCCACCCAATAATCCATCATCCATCCATCCAGCAATTCATCCATCCAACAATCCATTTATACATCCATCCATCCATCCATCCATCCATCCAACAATCTAACAATCCATCCATCCATCCATCTATCCATTCAACAATCAATGCATCCAACCTGCATTTATTCAACAATCCATCCATCTATGTAGCAATGCACCCGACAATCTATGCAACAAAGCATTTATCCATCCAAGAATTCATTCATCCATCCATGTAACAATCCACCCAATAATCCATCCATGCATCCATCCAACAATCCATCATCCATCCATCCATCCATCCATCCATCCATCCATCCATCCATCCAACATGCATCAATTCAACAATCCATCCAACAATTCACCTATTCATTCATCCATGTATTAATACACCCAACAATCTATCTAACAAACCATCCATCCATACAACAATCCATCCAACAATCCATCCATCTATCCATCCATCCAATCCAATCCAATCCATCCATCCATCCATCCATCCATCCATCCATCCATCCATCCCACAATCTATCCACTCAACAATTTATCTATCTATCCAACAACCCATCCATCCAACAATCCAACACTTCATCCATCCAACATTCTATCCATTAATCCATTCATTCAACAACCCACCCATCCACCCATTTATCCATCCATCCATCCATCCATCCATCCTGCCATCCATCCATCCACCCTTCTACATATCATACAAACTAACCTAACCACCAAGCTATCCATCTATTTATCCTTTCACATTTTTATCTGTATCAATGTATACATCTGCTGTATACACTGCTCTGTTTCCATAAACACACTACAGTACCCTTGGACAGGATCTATATTCAGTCTTTATCTATTCATTTACTATGTTTATATATGTTTATCCCTCCTTTCCTCCTTTTCTGTTGAGTGAAATCCATATGACTAAGAGTGAAAACCATAATATTGCACTACGTTTAATGTAACTTAATGCTGCATTTGAACAAATACAAGAGACTTGTGTACTGTATTTATGTAACCCGAGGAACTAAGAAAACAAATCACATAAAATCTGACTTCACATTGACTTCAAATTAGGTAAATAAAGAAATAACATTTTCAAATTGTCAAAAAATGTTCTGGCAGGTGGCTGGCCCAAAATAAGTTGACAGAAACCCTGTGTGCTTTTTCCAAGCGCACACAAACGAGTTCTCTGCATTCAATCAAATTTCCAGACAAAGTGTTGCAGGCAAACACTTAACTTGACCATAAAAAGAATCTGGTTTGCATTAGTGCAGTCCTTGAAATACTGTCTGCATTTGTGCTACCTGAAATTGTACCAATTTGTAATGTTCAGCTCTCTCTGATTCATTGCCACACCACAGAGAGTCTGGTAGAGCAGCCACACAATGCGATGATGAAAGAACCCTACGGCCTAACTCCCTTCATTTGTTGTAAATATCGGTTTCAACTTCAGCAGCACCAAACATATAACCACTTTGGCTATGTGCTACAAACTCCAATCTCTGGCACTTAAATTATTATGCTGAACGATTCAAAATGGAGCTCAAAAGTTTGCTATCTCCAAACTTTGAAAACTTCAAAGCAAACATTGTGCGTAAGTCTGCATGTTCATAGGTGTGAGAAATACAAATATAGACAATGTGTGAGAATAATGAGCGTCTTTGTATCGGAGTTTATACCTGTCCTGGTTGTTCGCAGGGCGTCTGGAACTCGGCCTGTTGACACACCTCCTTCACCTTCTTGTACTTTGGCAAGCTGTTGGAGTGTTGTGTGTTCAAGCTGCTTGCCGAGTCTTCTTTCTTGCGCAGGATTTTGCTAGAATGACAAATGTATGTTTGGTAAGTTGTTAGGCTGCAATTTGAAGTTGGCAGCCTCTCTGTTTTTCGGAAGCCTGGAAAGCATAGCCGTCCCACCCAGGTCAGCATCTCGTAACCGCTTTGTTGAGAGTTTTATATATTTCGCAGAAACAATGAAACCCAGATTCTCCAGGCAGTCAATGGGCATATTCATTCTATAGTTTGAACTTGAAATGGACCGTTTACTCAAAAAGTTAAAGTTTTGGTTCAGTTTTTATTCAATTAATTTGTTAAAAAACCTGCTCCACAGTTTCTTTGGTCTGTTAAACACAAATGAAGATAATGGAGTGTTGGTAACTGGTAGCCATAGCCTTTTTCACTACAATAGAAGTCAATGGCTACTTGTTTCCAACAGTCTTTAAAATATCTCTTTTTTTGTGCAACTGACAAAAATAAACTCAGAAATGATTGGAACTACTTTTTTGTTAAACTGTCGCTTTAGCTATTATATAATGTTAACAAACTAAACCTTTCCTTAAAGTGGTACCAATTTTAACAGTCAACAATAAACATTCCATCACTCATGCCTACTTAAATTGTTGGTCACACCTTACAATAAGGTTCATTAGTTAATGTTAATTAATGCATTTACTAACATGAACAAACAATGAACAATACATCTACTAATGTATTTGTTCATGTTAGTTAACGTTAGTTAATGAAAATAGAGTAGTTCATTGTTAGATCATGTTAACTCATGGTGCATTAACTAATGTTAACAAGCATGGACTTGGATGTTAATAATGCATTAGTAAATGTTCAATTATGATTAATAAATGCTGTACAATAATAAATATAATGCTTTAATAATAAGGTCTAACAATTAAGATCACCTGATGCATTAACTAATATTCACAATAAGAAACAATCTTTATAATAATATTAAAAATGAATTTATACAATTAATTATACTGACATTAATATCCACTAAGATTACAAAATGCTTTTAAAGTATTTCACGGAATCACATTGTCAAGTGTTAGCACTCAAACATCACATTTTGTTTTCATCCAACACTCATCTAACACACACTTCTATAAATATAAACATCACTGGAACGGCATTCGAAATCACTCCAAACTAATTTGACCTAAAAAAAAAAATCCAGTGCTCTGCATGATTTCACCACAACTGATTAATGAAGTAGTTGCTAATCTGACTTCTCACAAAATGGGAGCTGTCGTGACCGTGAAAAACAGGTTGAATAAATGGCATTTTGGTATAAACACGTTTCGAGTTCGTGGTCTGGCTTTATACACAACAGTTACTGAGTCACGGAAGCAACAGCCGGCACTGATCAACCATGTGCTTCATGATTGCACCATTCCTGGAAAACCTTCTTTCAATTAGTGTTAAGGAGAAACTAAGCATAGGCTGACTGTGGGAGCAATAACATGACATTTTACAGAAGATGGCTCTGTGCGAGTGACGATTTGAGATATACACTTGAGTGTCCTATATATATATATATATATATATATATATATATATATATATATATATGACACTCAAGTGGTTCCAAACTTTTACGAGTTTTTTCTTCTGTTTAACACAAAAGAAGATATTTTGAAGAAATCTGAAAAGCTGTAACTTGACTTCAAGCATTATCCCGCTTGCTGATAGCTCAAAATGCTACTGCAAGGCTTTTAACAAGTACCAAAAGACATGACCACATTACACTGGTTTTAAGTTCTCTGCACCGTTTGGCTGTGTACATTAAAAAGAGCTTTGCTTGGTGTTTAAATTACTAAATGGTTTGGTCCCCGCCTATACTGTCTGATTTATTAACTGAATATCAGTCCTGTCTGTCTCTTTGGTCATCATACCAGAGATCGTTATGCATTCATAAGTAGAGTCTGAAATGCAAGGGTGAAGCTCTGTATCAGACCTGCATCGTCACTGTTTTAAATCTATGCTAAACACCTAACATAGATGTTGTATTATTATTATTATTATTATTATTATTATTATTATTATTATTATTATTGCATTTTATCAGTGACAATTGTTTTTGTTTTAGTAACCATTTCAATATATATAATTATTGTGAATTGTATTGTGCAGCCCACTGATCAACCCTTGGTTGTGTTTAATAGTGCTAGATAAATAAAACTTACATCAACATCAGTAGCAGAAAAAACAAATACTAAGGAAGTCAACCGTTTCCAAGCATTCAAAATATATGAAAGGGTTGAAATAAGTTTAGTGTGAGTAAACAACGCCAGATTTAAAAAAAAAAAATTGTGGGTGAACTACTCCTTTAAATAGGGTAAACTCTCTCCCATACCCACATTCCACAGATCAGTCATGGAAATCAAGGGAAACGCAGCACACACGTATCAGGTTCGAGTCTGATACCACAGGTAATATCATATATTTCCCTAAGGGAAGGATTTGTTTCTGTCGTGGGGTTACTGAAACATATCTGATAATGAGAGTCTGGAGCTGTCAACTGAAGAGTTGAGCCTCTGAGAACAATTCTGATCAAAGAAGGTAGAAGTCTGATCATGGTGTCAATTTGCTGATTATTTTAAATTGACGGATCAACTTAAAAATGAAAATGTGTTGCTAGTTTAATCTCTTTCAGACCATGTTGGTGACTTGTGCTACAGTATATACCAGAAGCTTGTGCCATATATATATATAGAAATATGAGCTATTATTTTTCTTTGTCATGTGCCAACCCTAAAGAGCTAATAGTAGAGTTGCTGCTAATATTAATTTAATTTATTTAGCTTTGACTGTATGGTTTTATTTATTATAACAACAACAAGAACAATAATAATAATAAAAGCAGCAATAAAAATAATAATATTTATTTATTTGTTTTTTTTATGATTATCAAAGTTTAGATAGCGATTGAAATCTATCCCAAGAAAAGCAAAACATCTTTGTTAAACTAATATTTTCACTTTGACTTGGCTAAAACAACATATTAAGCTGGACAATTATCTTAACTACTATATAAAAATATATTATCCAAGGTTAATGGTTAATTCAATCATTCAGAATGGCAATTGTCGATTGTACCAACAAACACAAATTGTGCCAACTTTATAAATTTTTTTTTAAAGCTGTTATATTATGAATTGAGAAATGAAGTTAAAATCTGTTTTATAAAACTCGTTACTAAATAATTAGTTTAAGCTGCTTGACTCTTTTATAGCATGAGAACATTTTCCCACATTTTTAGGTGAACTCAAACCGAGACACGTGAAGGAAGGAGGATGTTTGTGCAATGCAATCCTAAAATCATAACATGTACTTCTGATCTTATCTTTTGGCGATTTTACAGCAAAATTCTGGAATGGAGATTGCGGCGAGCCTCACGTATACAGTAAATCAATTCAAATGTATTTTGCACATTCTGCTGTGATTTTATGCTCTGATTGAGAAGAGAGGGACTAATGTTTGCCTTACCCCCGCTCCACCAGGAATGTGTCCCTCCAGACTTTAGGTTTCCGGTTGGGTTTGAATCTGCAATATGAAAACGCAAATATTTTATTTCTCTCCGAGTCCTTGTGTCATTTGCATACCGTAAGCGTGTGTTTGGCTTGGCCCGAATTATGACATTTTAATCTGCTCAACATGTCCTGCCATCATGAGTGGCAGAGCATTTCCAGCATTCTTTACCTGCCAGAAACTCTTTATAAATGAGCTCCAAATGTGCACAAACCATTAAACTCAAGTGAACTGAATTAAAGCAAAATTGACTGTGTGTTTACGGAGAGGATTTAGCTCACCTGTTGCCAGTCTTTTCCTGCTCCAAAAGCTTCAGGATGGATTTTCCATCCATATCAGGTGGAGTGTCCAGGCCAGCTATGTCCAGGATTGTGGGTGCTAGATCAATGTTTAGCACAACATGGTTGTTCCTTTGGAATAATACAAAATAGACTATAATAACTGTTGCAAATGCTTTTTAAAAGGGGTTAAATTATTATTTCAGTGATTTATTAAATAAAGAAATATATAAATAAATAAAAATAAGAATTGCAATCTGTAAAAATATAGATTTAAATACATTTAAAACATTATTGTTATTGTTTTTTATTGGGTATTATAATAACTATAAAATAGATAACTATAACTTTAAATGATAAGTATAATAACTATTATTATTATATACGTTTTTATTTAATTGAATAAATCAGTAAATATATAAAATACATAAACAAAATATATATAATATATTTTATTTACAAGATGTAATACAATTAATGTTAATTCATCTATAATTATTATTTTATTTAAATAGTCTGTATATTTGAATATTGTTTTCAATATATTAAAAATGTAAAGCAAATATTTAGAAAATATATTCTATTATTCAAGTAATGCAATATAAAAAATTTTATGTATGCATTTTACTATACACTAACTAATATTAATCTTCTAATGTAACAATGTCATTAAAGGCAGTGATGCATATTTTGTTAATTTCTATTCATTTAAAGTGTTATAAATAATAGCATATTTTTTTACAGTATGTTTACTAAATTATATATATGCAATGTGTATACTGTATTATATTGCTAATAAATACAGTATATAATACACAAAGATGAAGAACACTTAAAATTATACAGTCCTTTTTAAAATATTTTCCAAATGATGTTACTGGGAATTCTCACAGTATGTCTGATAATATTTTTTTTTCTTCTGGAGAAAGTCTAATTTGTTTTATTTCGGCTAGAATTAAAGCAGTTTTCATTTTTTTAATAAACATTTTAAGGTCAAAATTATTAGCTCCTTTAAGCTATTTTTTTTTTTCAATAGTATACCGAACAAACCATCGTTATACAATAACTTGCCTAATTACCCGAACCTGCCTAGTTAACCTAATTAACCTAGTTAAGCCTTTAAATGTCACGAAAAATCTCCAGTAAAATATTATTTACTGTCATCATGGCAAAGATAAAATAAATGAGAAATTAGTTATTACATTTACATTTACATTTAGTCATTTAAAACTATTATGTTTAGAAATGTGTTGAAAAAATCTCTCCGTTAAACAGAAATTGGGGAAAAACAAACACGGGGGCTTTTAATTCTGACTTCAACTGTAAAAGGTTTTATTTATATAATTAAATTATAGACGTATAAATCATTTTTAAAAAGTGCATTTCAAGAGAAAAGGAGATTTCACCTTGCCCCTGGTTCCACGTTAGGACCTCTGACAAAAAACGGCACTCTGATGTCAAAATCATACGGCATTGACTTCCCTTTGACCAGACCAAACTGGCCAATGTGGTAACCGTGATCAGCTGTGTAAATGATATAGGTGTTATCCAGCTCTCCAGTATCTACCAGAGCATTATATACCTGCAATACAAAACCATCACACACATTTCCTTCCCAACTCATACATGACAAAATCAGCTGACAATCCAAAATCTGGCATTTAAAGCTCTTACCTTCTCTACAGAGTCGTCCACAGACATGAGCGTCTGGAGCCTCTTCCTGTGCAGGTAGTTGGTGAACTCCATGTGGATCGGCTTCATCGGGCCTGTGTACTGCATAATCCAATGCTTATCCATGTTTGGAGCATAGTTATAACTGGGAGTTCTGGATAAACAAGAAAACATGCAACTGTGAGGGAAAAACAGTGCACCTGTCTGCCATTTTACAAGCACTTGTTGTGTTGTCAAATTGACAAGTGTCAACAGATGCATTTCCATAAGAAATTTGCGCAAAACTTTTAGAATATTTTTAAAATGTCAATAAATATGATTTCAACTTGCAATTTCAATTTGAGCAATCTGAAGAGTATTGAAAATGGGCCTGCAAACAGAAGTTGATGAGACGTGAAATTCTCCTCGCTCGAGTCGCTCCTCGATCTCAATCAACATTATTTATTAGTATTCATGGCCCTCTGGAATACCTGATTCTTATTGGTCAGTTACAACATAACAGCCAAAACTAAGAACACTCAAAGAATTTGCTGTTTTTTTCAAACTACTTATTTAAAATGAGCTGAAACACAATTATTGAGATTTTTGGAGACAACTTAATTGTTTTAGGTTCAATCCACTTAAATTTGTTAAATTAACTTAATCTATTTGTGTTGCAACAATATGAATAAATTGTGGAACCCTGCATTTTTTTTAAGTGAATACGGTCTCGTGTGGATAATCCAAATCATCTTAGGTACATTGATATCCACATTTATAGATTTATCTTTCACACAGCTGTTGTTGACTGCTTGATGCTATTATGTGATTGAATAGTATGCAGGTTAGTGTAGGCTGCGTTCAGCCATTTTTCTTCTGACAGATTTATGTTATTGAAAGAGTTGAATGTTTTGTCTCATTCTTTTGTGACAATTAGTCATGTAGTAAGTGGGATAATGTACATCTAAGCTGTTGTCTTCTCAGAATAAAGCTTTTCAGTTTGAGGCTTGTGCACAACAGATCACTTCACTTTAGTTGTTTTGGTATTCATATCCAACTGATTTTCACTGCGCAGAGTAAATGTACAAAAATTCCTCCCTGAAATTAATTCAATTAAATGTAATTCATCCCTACTTGTATAGTGCTTTTACAATGTAGATTGTGTCAAAGCAGCTTTACATAGAAGATTATAGTGAATTGAAACAGTGTCAGTTCAGTTTTCAGAGTTTAAGATCAGTTCAGTTCAGTTTACTGTGGTTTAATATTCACTGCTGACAGTTCAAACAGTGAAGAGCAAATCTATCGATACGCAGCTCTACAAGTCCTGAACCATGCAAGCCAGGGGCGACAGCGGTGAGGAAAAAACTTCACCAATTGGCGAAAGTGAAGGATAAAAAACCTAATGATGAGATTACATGGTGCTTGAAAGAAATACTCCAGTACACAAGGTGGCACCGCGTTTTTCCTTTGAGTAAATGCTTTTCAACATCTGTTTGACCTTCTCCACCTCAACTTAAAGTCCACTGTAAAAAAATGGTGGGTTCCACACAATAGATTTGTGATGGGGCAACATAAGGGAATTAAGTTAACTTAAATGTTTAAGTGGGTTGAATGTAAAACAATGAAGTTGTCCTCTTTAAAAACTCAATAATTGTGTTATTTCAGCTTGTTTTAAAGAAGTAGTTTCAGCAAACAGCAAATGTCATTTTTTGATTTCATGTATTTTTTAAATAACGCTTTTTTTACACCTGGATTTTTGCGCATCAATGTACACGCTCATATTGATGCTTCTTTTTAATCACGAGGTGTTAAGTCTGTGATAATTATGCATGAAAATTTATTTCAGGGTGCAAAGGCCACACTGAAAAATATAAGTTTGGTACTTGTTTAAACTACTTATTTAAAATGAGCTGAAACAACACAATTCTTGAGATTTTTTGAGACAAGATTACTGTTTATTATCTTCAATGTACTTAAATTTGTTAAAAAAAAAATTAAGGACAACATGAAGAAATTGTGTGGAACACACGCATTCCTTTTAGTGCATTATTCTCTACTTCACATCAGACTGCTGAAAATAGATTAGCATTATTACATAATCACATACTTATCATCTTTAGTATAATAAATATGAATATAAAACATAAATAAAAATTAAACAAGTGATCATGCAAACAAATGTTCCTGAAACCCTAATTTAATCTACAAGTGCATTTTTTAATTCAATGATTAATATTTCATATCTTTAGTAAAACACAAAAGACAAAATACAAAATGACCAAATTAAAATATTAATACGCTCACTATTTTTCCAATTTAACTTTCTATTTTATTTAGGGAGTAAAATTTGATTTCTTTAGTACCTATTCAGGTTTCTTTTGTAGCTGTACGTTCTGCATAACGAGGAATACATGCACCTGTCACCTGCCATTTCGCAAGCACTTGTGGTGCTGTTAAAACTGACTGTCGTATAACATTCCTGACAAGCGTCAATAACACGAGTCGACGGAAACGGACTAATTCTTCTCGCTGGCCTGTTTTTCTTGGGCTCCTCACACCATACCAAGAGTCTCAGGGTTTCTTGGCAGCGTTTAATCGTTTGAGGGTTGGCACATGCAGAAGAAAAATAATAGCTTCCCCAGCCTTTCAGGCCCAAAATAAAGTTTGTAATACGTCCAGCATCGACAGGGCTATAACTCATTTGCATCTGAAGTGGAGAATGAAAAGCTGGGTAAACAAGAGGCTGTGGGCTTGTTTGTAGAGCTACGGCTTTAAGATAGACACCTGTTGACTGCATTTGGCTTCTTTCCACAGCTGAAAGACTCTTGTGCAGGGTGTCATGATGAAGGATGGATGCAGGAAAGGCTTCATTCCATTCGTGTTGTCAGTTTCGGTCAGTCAATGTTATTTGGTTTAATAAAATAAAATAATAAAAAATAAAAATAAAAAAAAACTATAAAAAATGCTTTTCTTTTCTTGTTCAATTAATTTAGAGACTTCATGCATTTTGCATTTATTTCTATCAGTTGCTATTAGAAAGCTTATGGGGTTATTCAATGCTTTCTTACAAACAAGAACACTAAAAAATCTACAGTTTCCTTAACTTTCGTAACTTTAATTACTATTAAAGGGCCACCTAGCAACATGACATACAATTAAGCAAATTGGTCACACATTACTATAAGGTTTCAATGGTTAATATATTTATTTCCATGAACTAACAATGAACAGTACATATACAGCATTTATTAATCATAGTTCAACAATTACTAATGGATTTTTAAATTCTAAATTTACGCTTGTTAATATTAATGCAACGTGAGTTAACATGAGTTGCAGCAAACAATTTTTTTTTACCATTAACTGACATTAACAAACATGAATAAATACAGTAATAAATGTAATGTTCGTTGTTTGCTCCTGTTAGTAAAAGTATTAGCTGACATTAATTAATGCAACCTGTAAAGTGTTACCAGCAAATTAATAAACAAAGTATTAAGTCTACAAAGCATTCTGTCTATTGCAAGGGTTAGTTAAGGGTTAATTAATTCATAATTTTAACTAATTGTATTGTTAATATTTTATAATTATGCTAAAATACAAAATAAAAAGGCAAAATAAAATGTTTTGATATTTAATAAGAAATAAATAAATATTTAATATTTCATATTAATTGATAGCATTTATAAAATATTTAAGCCATAACAATCTTTACATATACATTTTTCATTTTAATTAAAAAAATATATTTCTTAAGCCATACAATCTTTCTATTTTTACATTTTAATAAATAAAAAAATAAAATAAAAAATATTTTGAAGCTATAAAATTCTTTACATATATATATCTTTTTGTTTTAATTACATGAATTGTACATCTTTGGTAAATAATAATAATAATAATAATAATAATAATAATAATAATAATAATAATAATAATAATAACAACAACAACAACAAACATACACGACACATTTAGATTAATCATTGAGCAGATCCTTGTGTTCAAAGAGACTTATGAGGGAAACAATACTTCAGATCATTAATTACATTATATTTACCGCTTAGTTGGTTCCAATTTTGAGGGGTACGCGTGCAAATGTTCATTTTAACACAAAAATGTTTTCCAAAGAAACACATTTCATGGAGAAATCTCTACAGGGCTTCAAAATCACACACACAAAAAAACTCGAACTGTCAAAAATCTTAAATGGAGTTTGACATGAGTTCAACATTTTCTTGTGAAAGCTACTAATCTTTGTTTAATTGAAAATTTCGAAAAATAATTTGCAGCTTATGCACCCAATAAATAACACCCCCAAAAGAGTCTGAAACCCCGCTGCATTATTCCAGCATGAAACCTGTGCCTACCATCTGTTTCCCCTTTCTTTTGGCACAATTTGCCAGGCAACCCTTTCGGCACCAGAGCGACTTGCCAGCCCATGTGAACCTTGCGGTCTCCAATTGTGATCTATTCACAGCCCATGCGTTTAAAAAGATATTAATAACACAAAAGAGTCATCCAAAACAATGCATTCCCCAAACCTACATAATGAAAGGCATGATTGATATGAGAAGAGTCAGATAGTTGTGTAGGAAGACAAGCTGGAAAAAAAAAATGGATAGGCTTGGGGAACAAAAGTGTGACCGGGATCCCGAAATGCTTGGGATGTTAAGGACCAAGAGACGGATGGCCTGTTGCCACTGAACTATGTGTGGAATAGGATCTTAGCCATGGAAATAAGGATAGTGCAGTGAAGCCACCAAGGTTTTGGCACTGGCGCAAAAATTATAAAACCATCTCATCCCTTGTCAAGTGCCAGAACTTTACTTGGATGATAAATCACTTCAGTTTCATGGTGGTAGTGTCAGGGGTGAAGTGCGTTTCAGTGCACAGATATCTCTTAAAGAGACAGTTCACCAAAATATTTACAAAGGATTTTCCGTTAACCTAATTATATATTATATACATATATCTTAAGTAAATGTTAATAAATTAATTGGTAATAAATGTTATTTATTTTTAGCTTTCTATTTTAATTAAATATTTTTTTTATCTTTAATAAAATAATGAATATATAAATATTATTTAAGGCAACATTTTGACTACATTTGTCTTTCTGCTTAAAAGGATAGTTTACCCAGAAATAAAGATTTACTCTCGATTTACTCAACATTTAATAGTTCCCAACCTTTATGAGTTCTTATCTTCTGTTGAACACAAATTTTGAAGAAAGCTGAAAACCTGTTACCATTGACTTACCATTAAATATCTTCTTTTGTATTAAATAGAAGAAAGAAACTCATCAAGGTTTGTAACAATAAAGGGCAAGTAAATGTTGAGAGGATTTTATGTTTTGGGGGGTGAAATTTTTCTTTAAATTAATATATCTATATAAAATATTGAACAAAAAGGCCAACTATTAAAAAGAAAAACAGGGTAATATATATATAAAAAAACTAAATTATACAAACAAACAAATGTTGGTGCTGCTGTTATTCCTTTATGTTGTTTCTGTTTTTGGGTGTGCATGCTTTTGTTTATTGATATACTTGATAAAATTTGGTCAAAGTAACAACTTCAAAGAGTATTAGCTATTGTTACAATTCAATTCAAATCAACAACACTGTTTGCATAAATCTATTACATTATTTAATATAAGAAATTACATTAAAAAGTCATGAGAACAGTCTTATTTAATTTAATTTTTTTTTTTTTTATTTGATGTTATTTGATCTGTTTTTACATTAATGTGACGGTTGGGTTTAGGGTTGGGGTGGGGTAGACGTTATTAACATGCAATTAATGGGAAATTTAATAAATAATATGAATAATTCTCGTTAACTTCTGGCTGCAGCCGTATTTTATTTATAGTTGATTAACCATATGGATGGATGATAACAGCCTTCTGAGCCTATTTGCAGGCGCAGAAGGCCCCTACTGGCCCATATCTATCAGTTGATAACCACTGATAACACCAATTCAATCGAGTGATAACATTTGAATCGGCTGAAGAAACAGCAAATGGCACAATAAAATAAAATTCACAATGCAAAAGTCCATCATGTATACGTGCTGTTATACATATACATGTATACGTTTTGATCTTTTAATATTAGTATGTATTGTAAATTTTGAATTACTTGCACATTCTATCCATCCAACACCTCAACGTATTGTCAGGAACAATGAAGTCTATATTTTATTTTGCTTCTATATTTTTTGTCTCTCAAAATGCCACTAGCCCTTGACTCTCATTTTATGAATTACTAGAGACCATAGTTTAAAAAATAAAAATAAAAACTTCTCTTATACGTTACTAACATAAACTAACAGGAACTTTTGGGGTGAACTGTCTCTTAAAGAGTCTTTTATTGGCATATCCAAATTTATACGATGCCACAAAGCTTCCTAAACTCCTATTTACCTGCAGGCCAAATTACAATGGTTAAAAATTTATAGTAAAATTATATTCTTGGAAGGCTTCTGTTCTTCGGAAATGCATGTCCCCAGGAATATCCTATTATAAATACATACAGAACAATAAAAATATCCAGACTCAACAATCCAGCAGGGCTTGGCTTTAGGACAGAGACACTCGGAGTTCAGTTGAGTTCAGCAATAGCAGAGAGTGACTGAATGTTCTGGGAGTCATGATCTATGTTTCAAGCACTACATTTTAATGCACGTTTTGTATTTAATCAGAAACTAAGGTTTTAAACTGTTTGGAAGCATTAAAAGTGTGCAAGAAAATGTCTAAAATCTTTACACACATTGACCCAAAGACTGTTTAGATGCATGTCACTGATGAGAAGATGACAGATGTTTACTGTATGATGACCAATATGACCTTAAACACCTGTAGACAAAGGACGTCAACATGACGTCAGATTGACATTGTACTACTTGTCTACTCACTACTCTTGAGTACTTTTAAAAGGGCTACTTTTTACTCATACTTTGAGTAATATTTACAACAAATACTTTTACTCTACTTGCAATACATTTTTAGGGAAGTAATGGTTCTTTTACTCGAGTATGATTTGTCAGTAATCTTTCCTCCACTGCTCTTTGGTGAATATTAGTTTTAATAATCAATAATGGTCATTATAAAAGTATAACGTACAATACGTTGTTACAAGCTTGGCAGAAATGCACCTAATTTGAATTTCATTTATATTTTGTGAACTTCGAAGAGATTCATTACTCACATGTGCTGGGAGGCATTCGGGAAGAGTTCAGAGTATTGCGGTGCTGAGTCCTCTGGGCCATGAGGAGCCGCGTGACTGATCACCATCATCACCGGTCGGTGCGGGAACATGCGCTTGGACGTCCGGAAATAGTTGATGCTGTCATTGGTGATCAGATCAGTAAAGTAGTCCTGGTAGTGGTAGAATAATAAATATGCTTTATTACAACAAATGTATTTGCTAGAAAAAAAATGATTGTTAATACAGAATATAATTTAAAATGCATGCATAAAGTCATTGTAAAAGTGCCTTGTAAACAAATACAATGAAAATAATATAAAATGCAATAAATATCTGCTCATTTGAACTTTCAGTTTGTAAAATACCCCATGCTATATCTCCTAAAATATAATATTCACAAATAAATTATTTATTGTAAAAGATGTTAGTAACAATGGATATTAGATCATATCTAATAATCACCGATAAACCTTTTATCGTTCTGAAAATATATTTACACATTACATATATTTAAAAAAAAAAAACAAATTAAATAGTTTTGTAAAAAAGCGCACAAAATATTTAAATAAAAACATTATCCTTTTTTTAAATAATACTTATGATGCATCATATCTTTATTACAAGACATTTGCCATAGCTATACTTTACCTGGTTTAGAAACTAATATAGACATTTCTCAAAATGATCAGAAAGCCAATACAATATGGAAATATTAAATCATGGAAATTTTCATTTGTTTCTGACCCTTAAAAATTAATGCAATGATGGTATCATCTTTTTGAGCTGTTTCCAGTTTTGAGCAGGACAAGAGTGCCGACAGCTTCACTCAATGCGAACAGAGCACCATAGTCCTGTTATGACAACACTGGGGTCTCAATCTGACTGCTATGAGGCAGCAGCAGGAATGTGCACTAGGGCTTGGGGGCAATAATCATGTGATACTGATGCTGTAAGCCCTTTGACGGCAACACTCCTGGTCTGGGCTGGCTGTGGGAAAGTCTTCACCCCCATCTTTCCCCAATGCTGAAAGCGTGCAGCTACCACCAGCAGCACCAGCTGTGGGAGCATGAGACTTGTGGAAGTTATTGTTTAGAGCTGTACTCAGTAGACCTTGTTCCTTACAGCAAATCACTTCACTGCCTCTGTTGCACCACTAATTGAACCAGCATGTTTGTTTATGTTGGAAAACAGTTCTCCATCATGCTGATTGTTTCTGTGAAACGGCTTCTCAGTGTGCCTAACCTGATTAATTCATTAAAACATTGTTTGCTTGGAGTGAATGAAGGCACAAAACTGGGCCTTTTTAGCAAATTTGTTCTGCTTAAGCCTACTTTTGACTAAAAGGGCTAAAAAGCTAAAGCTAATTTGAAGTGTGTGGCATACTTTAGCAAAGCAGATTTATTTTTGCTGTAATATTATGTTATTTTAGACCATGATAGCTCTTCTCAAGGTATTTACTACTTTTTGGGATTAAAACTTTAAACAAGAATCCAATAGAATACGTTTATGCAATTATTTGAGTTTGTGTACAGTGTGTGACATTCATTTCTTTTATCAGCACAATATCTGGTTTCTTTGTGGAGTTTGCATGTTCTCCTCATGTTCGCTTGGGTTTTCTCCGGGTGCTCTGGTTTCCCCAAAAGTCCAAAAACATGTGGTACAGGTAAACTGGATAGACTAAATTGTCCATAGTGTTTATATGTGTATAGGAGTGTATGGGTGTTTCCCAGTGATGGGTTGCAGCTAGAAGAGCATCAGCTGCGTAAAACTTATGTTGAATAAGTTGGCGGTTCATTCCCCTGTGGCAACTCTTAATTAATAAAGGGAATATGCCGAAACGAAAATAAATAAATGATTAATGAAGGTATCTTTAGCGCGTGCAGGTTCGCTAACATACACGTAGAAACCAAAGTACACATTGAGCTTAAGGGTTTCCAGGAACCACTTGAAGACCATACATCATGTAGAAACCTCTTGTGCCCCTGTACTTGTGGGTAACTTAACACTTTCATTCAATTCAACAAGCAGGTTATTGACATCCGAGTAACGGTCCAAACATTTATTTGCTCATCCTTCCAAGCCAATTTAGGCTCAAACCATGAAACCTCTGCACAAATTCCACATTCCCCAAAAACCTGCTATACCTGAGAGACATCAGTGACTAAATCCTAAAGCTTGTTTTGACAGCGGCTCCAAAACACACTAGAGATGGAAGGTGGCCATGTCAAATTAAACTTTTTAAACTGTGATTTTATCACTTTGCTCATATTGCTGGTCTTGCACAAAGGTGCAAAGGTATGTTACTTCACAGCCAACAACAGAGAGCATAAATCATGACAATGTTTGAAAGTTTTATTTCTTTTCCATAAGGAGTATGCACATATTCTTAAATCCAGATATATTTACTTGAGATGCTGTTGAATGACTTGTATCAAATACAGCTTTTTTTATGTATGGTTTAGATTATAATTAAGGTTTAGATTATAATTAAGCTTTGCATGAACTGGAGGATGCTGAGACTTTTAGGCCCAATCCCATTTCTACCACTTAGTTTGCCTTCACGTAAATGGGCAGTGAGTCCTGATTCTCTTTAGAGTGAAGGAGTATGGCTAAAGGGATGGGCTTGATAGGTCTTGAAATTGAGATTTTTCAGGACCACATTCGAAACAAGGGTAAGAAAATTTCTTAGAATACATCATCTACAACGGCAAAATAGCTGCACACTGAAGCCAGGAGATGCACAAATTAGTGTTTTTTGTCATTATTATGAATTGTTACAACAGACAAGCATATGTTTTAATACAGTCATAACGGCTTTCGTGTTTTACCGTCATGCTTTAAATAAAGATAAAAAAACTGCTAAATTTTGCTATGTATAATTATATTATTATTATTATTATTATTATTATTATTATTAATAATAATAATAATAATAATAATAATAATAATAACTCCTGTTAAGTAATCCCAAAACATACTTTCACATCTGTCACTCAATGATTTTTGAATACCTGTCAGAAAAGTCTAGTAGCTTTTTACAGTGTCTGGTATGACGTTAATGTTAATGTAGTTTTAGTATAGATGAATAGGGCCACAGTGTAAATACACAGTACAGTTACAAGTTTATTGCCGCATTATATCATTATATTACCATGAACTTGTTGCCTTCAATGATTTCCTGAAGATAAATTTGAAAAAAATAACGCAAATAGAACTACAAGTATAACTACAAATACAACTACAGCAGTCACCGTCCTCAATCTTATATGAAGTGAGAGATCGCGATGACATATGACTTCTGCAGGTGTTGTGTTGGTGTCCCATTTCTTAGGGGTAAAATCTGAAGCCCTTCCTCTTCACACTCAAGGGTCAAGGGAAAGGGATGAAAAAAAAATAGAATTTGGACTTAATTCAGTATGTTGATGCATACTTACAGCAGTATTGAGAAGAGGTGGGGCTTTCTGTTTGAGCATTATTCCCTAACAGCAAACTGATGGTATAAGAGGGGCGTGGTTAAGAATTCTGTGGCTGAAGCAGTCAAACTGACATCAGCAGAGAAGGAATAACAAACCAAACGTGCAACGTGGGTACACAGACTCTAAAACAAAAACAACTATAATCTGACAATTGAGTTATTTATTTTTTTTATTTAAATAAAAGAACTTAAATAAAAAGAATATATTTTAAGCCAGCATAAACTCAATTCTTTAAAAACTATTTTTAAATACTAAATCAAATGCATTGTTCAATGCTAATGTTGGGGAACTAAATAAAAAGTCTTTATTATTATTATTATTATTATTATTATTATTATTATTATTTTATATTAATTTTAAAGTTTGATACCTCAATTTTGTGTAAAAATGAAATGGACATAACTAAAAAAATATATATAAAATTACATACAACATTTTATCCAGACATATACACTGAAGTGTTCTGAACAGTTCACCCTGCCAAATCAGTAAAGCGACAGTTGGAAAAAAAAGACTTTCCCCTCAGGATATCATCTTCGTGTCTACCAGTTCTTATGCAATTTAACCACCTGGTGATACACAAGACACTGGTGCAGCTCCTCATGCCCCCTTTAATCTAAGCACATTCCACTTGGAGTCAAACAACCCAAATTTGATATGTAATTAGAAGGCTGAAATTAGTGGAGAACAGACCATGCAATTGAGCATAAACTGAAAATTGAGTTTAAAAGACACCTCTGGCTCGCTGACAGGGCTGTGAACTTATGTGACCGGGCACACACATACCTTGGCATAATCTGCGCCGTGCTTCTCCTTATTCCCGTTCCGACAGACGGTGTAATTATAGAACCGGGAATTTTTGATCAGCCCAACCCATTCACGCCACCCAGGTGGGATGTAGCTGCCGTTGTACTCATTCAGGTACTTCCCAAAGAAAGCTGTGAAACAAAATATAAAGATGACAACTTCAGTCTCGAGCTTCATGAATAATTGGTAAAAGACCCACACAATCTTAATTCTAAATAACAATCCAGACCCGTATCCACCCCGGTGAAATGGGAGGGACTTTTGTCCCAAAAAGTCAAAAAAGTATTTTTTTGCAGCTATTCACTTCATTTTCTATTGAATTATTGAATAGAAGTGAGGTTTTAATACTCCATTTAGTGACATTTTAAAGGGTCACAAACACCAAAACACATTTTTTGATCTATTGACAGTCGTATACTGTATGTGTCCCACACTGCTAAAAACACTATTAGGACACATATATTTCACTAAAAAGTGAAAATTGGTTGTTTTTGCGTTATTTCGAGCAAATTCGTACTTCCGGTTTGAAACAAATTTTTGAAGCTGCATCACGGCCATGAGATCATAGCGTGTATTCCAGCGTGTGGACTGGAGGTCTGTAACAAGGAGTCCCGTATTACATCTCTGAGTGCGTTGCATTCATTCATGAGTATGGCTTGGTTCAAACCAATCAGCGGCGCTCCATTATGAATGCACTGCAACTTCATTAATATGCGAGCTAGCTTTCTTAGACTGTACCTGAAACAGTGTTCAGAGGGCAGAGAGACAACACACGTCGTGTTGCCAAAAGTTGTGGGAAAAGAATAAGAATTGTTTGGAGATACGGATCGTCAGTGTTGCTTTCGTAATGTGAAGGTTTTGTTTTCATTTTCTCGAAGCACTGCTAGACTCACGCGTGGATCTGTAGAGGCAACGCGCAGCAGAAATGCTTTTGTTTAAAACATTTTTTATTCAAAGCATTTCTCATCTATGGCGAGATTTGGATTTGCTGCTCGTCTCCTTTAAAAAAAAGACGCAGCTCCAGTATGTGGAGATTATCCTGTCTACAGATTCGGTAAGTGTATGCGATCAGCCCCCTTTCTTTGTTCAATCAGATGGCAAAGTTATAGTTGGTATGGTCAGCTGTACTCTTTCAGTGTTTAAAGACTGTCAAAATGATTTCTAAGTTACTTAGTTTACAATACGTTAATATCACTACAATATTGAAAGATCTGCTGTAAATGCTGCTCTCCGAGTGTAAACACGTGAACTATTGCCGACAGTCGTGTTGAATTTTCGCCGCATTTTGTGACAGGATAGTCTACACACAAACAGCTTTCTGACCTCCTGAATGCATCTGAGTTACAAAGAAATGCAGAGGCTTTTTTCTCTTATACGATGTGCGGTATCAAACATCCCACCGTCTTTAAACACACTGTCTCCCCTGCGTGTGTGTTTGTTTGTACTCTGTCAGAAGCGCGTGCCCAAATGGTAACTCCCATTTTTATTCAAACCCTGCCCATTTTTATTCAAACCCTGCCCATTTTTATTCAAACCCTGCCCATTTTCATCCCCCGACACTCCCACCCAAACAAAGCTAGACACACCCACTTTACTGACTTTTTCCAAACTAGAGGTGTGAAATCATCCTGCTGAACAGGCGGTTTCATGGCCCTTTAAGCACTATTTTTAGCTGGATTAGCTTGTCAGATGGTCATCATAACCACACTTTTTGATGTACCAATGATATTTTCTAAAGATTCACAATAAAAATGTATAAAATATATATATATATATATATATATATATATATATATATATATATATTTTTTTTTTTTTTTTTTACATCATATATTATTGGAAAAAACTAAACAATTGTAGCCTATTGTCATTTATTAGGCTAATAACAAACTGGCCAGCACATTCAACTTGTCAAGATTTGGCCATTTGAATGATAAACAAATAAAATATAATAATAATAATAATAATAATAATAATAATAATAATAATAATAATAATAATAATAATGATGATGATGATGATGATGATAATAATAACAATAAAGTAAAGCTTCACGATTTTTCCTATCATCTCTTATAAAAAATAAATAAATTAGAAAATTCATGGATAACCATAACAGCCTAATTATTAATATTAAAATTAACTTTATTATGGGTCGCTTTTAGTGCTTTACAACTTTTCATTTTCCAGTCATTTTTCTTTAAGGAGTGAGCCAAAATAGTATAAATAAGCTTATGTATAAGACAAACTCTAGACCTTTGTCAGTGGGGGGTTGGTCTTTCGTACCACACGAAACCCCTGGCCATGGGCCTACAATCGTATGTGCTTGTTAAACTTTTGAAGGTACAATCATATCTGTTTTACCCAGAGAACTGTTGTTGTGCATGGTTGAAGTTGATTCTGTATCTGTTAATTTGTTAATAATATCTGTTAATTAATGATTTACAAGTGTTTTCCATTTACAAATTGCATTTTCTGCTCTGTCAATTTTTGATGTTAAAAATTCAACCCTACAGTTTAACAAAGAGTCTTTTCATTGCGTTGCAATAAATAATAGTAAATAGTTATATAATAGTATTATAATGTATAAAAAATAATATATAGAGAAATAAGTCTGAAAAATAACAGAAAATATACTGATAGTTTAGGTTTTTGTACCAGAATATATAACATAAACCCATACAATATATCACTTTAAACTACTAAAAATCTTAAAGTAACATTTTGGAACTTTTTAAGCTTAAAAGTTGCTAGAAGGTCCTGTAGTGCTGGAAGGTCCTGTAATGCAATTCAAAAGCATAAATAAATAAGGGAAAAATAAAGTCATGAATCAAAAAAAATGGAAAACTGAATTTACAGATATTTTTAGTGTAGTATTTTAAATTCTGGGTCACAAACAATACCATTTTCACATATGTATACTAGGAATAAACCTAGGATTTAAATCCTGACACTTACAATAGTGATCAATCACTGTAAAAGCAATTTCATGCTTTAGATCAGGGGTGTCGAACTCAATTCCTGGAGGGCCGAAGCCCTGCACAGTTTAGTTCCAACCCTGCTCCAACACACTTACCTGTAGGTTTCAAACAAGCCTGAAGGACTCAATTAGCTTGATCAGGTGTGTTTAATTAGGGTTGGAACTAAACTGTGCAGAGCTGCGGCCCTTTGACACCTGTGCTTTAGATGAATGCCAAAATACATGGCAACAAGCATGGCAGCAAGCATTTTGAAAGATTTTTCAAACATTTGCGAGTAAGTAGCAAACACACATAATTTTTTTTCTTAAGTATATATATATATATATAATATAATTTAAATTATTTAATTTAATAAAGCACTCTTGAATAAAGCACTTTTGTCAAGTGACTAGGGCCAGGCAGACATTTTTTGCTAGTTCTGCAGAGAATTTTGTAAATAAATAAATAAATAAATAAATAAATAAATAAACAAATAAACAAAAAAATCTGCGGATTTATGCGGAATGATTTTAGGAGTATGATAAGTAAAAACTCAATATCTGAACAAAAATAATACATGTTTAACTTTTATTTAATATTTACAATGAAATTAGATTAATTAGATTTCAATTATTCGTTAAACAAAGTCTCTCATATAATTTATCTACTAAAGGATAGAAAAATATTACTTTACAAGCTGCATTTTAAATAAACCATATGAGCATTTTAACATTAATTTTATTATATACAATAATATTAAAAAGTTAAACTAATTATCTTAGTTAAGCCTTTAAATTGCATTTTAAGTTGAATATTATAATATTAGTATTAGTAAATAAAAATTAAAATATCATGAATGGTCATAATGTCAAAGACAAAATAAATTAGTTATTAAAAATATCATGTTTAAAAATGCACTGAACTTCTCTGTTAAACAGTAAATATTTGAAAAAGAATTTGAATGTCAAAAGGAGCTCTCTTTTTGTCTTCAACTGTGTATGTACTGTACATAAAAAATCTATCAGAACATCATCAAACTACTTTGTCTAATTAGTTGTTAAACTTGCTATTCAAAATCATGTGAGAATCTTTTTTAAACAAACAAAAAAACTGGTGATTCTCAAATCCAGAATGGTGGAGCTTAACTTGCGTCTGTTTAGTGAGGTCGACACAAAGGCTGAAATTATCATTTATGACAACACTGTCTTTGAAGAGTACCTGTAAATGTCTGTCTGTGCATTGTATACATGTCTCCTCCACCCTTTACCCTCTAAGCTATGCCCTAACATCTTGCAGAAAAGCTGGGCAAGCAGCCAGTCTGCCCCGGAGAGTTAATTGTAGACTAACACATCAGCTGGGAAGCAGAAGCAGTGGTGAGCCCTGTGTTCGGGGTCAGAATGTGCTGCCACTCAACACACACACACACAACGCTCAGCTTTCACAAACCAGACAAACCGAACATTCCTGTAAAACTTTTCTTTGACCTCTAGGAACAAATGTGAGGCAAAAATTCAGTGAAGTTGCAGACCACTGTCATCATTTCCAATTGAGGGTAAACATGATTTATAATAAAAATCAGTTTATATATTTCCTAATATGTCCCAATGTTTAATGAGAAGGTTTATTCATTTTTAATTTCGCTTTATTTATGAATTAGATAACAGGAATTCACCTGGAGGAACCCAGAGAAAACCCACACGAACGCACGGAGAACATGCAAACTCCACACAGAAACGCTAACTGAGCCAAGGTTCGAACCAGCGACCTTCTTGCTGTGGGGCGACAGCACTACGTACTGCGCCACTGTGTCACCCACATAATGTTTCAGTATATAATATTTATAGTTAGTTTACTAGTATTCATACCCTTTTGTTATGTTAGGGATAAAAACATCCACTAAAGAAAACTGCTGTAAAAATGCATCAGACAATGTTTTTTTTTTTCAAATTTTTGCATAAAATTTGTAAATTAACCTCAGTCCAAATCAAATTACTAAATTGTTTAGAAAATTACCGGCTATTAACGCAAATGATGTCACTGATAAAACACACAAAATGATGAAGTTTTCAATGTAAAAAGTAATTGTGGACTTTTTTTTTTTTTTTTTTTTTTTGCTTTTATCACAGTCTTACACATCCGAATAATTATTAACAACATTGTCTTTGATACATTATTAGATTTTCATTTTTTCTCCCTAATTAACTGTTGGTGGCTGTTTTTGCCTCATTGACTTCCATTATAAACTCATTTGATGGTGCATAAATACACAGCAGTCTTTGTTCTTTTGTTTACTCCATGAAGTTCTGAGAGCTGAGATGGACATTTTGATTTTCTCAGAAACATCACGGTAAGTGCATAAAGGTCACTCTCTCACATCCACTGACACACATACATCTACTCTAATTTTCTGTCATACTCCAACAATCAAAAATGCATGATTATATGGTTTTGTAATAAAAAGGTAGTTATAATGGAAGTCAATGGGGCAAAAACAGGCACCAACAGTAAATTAGAGAGAGAAAAAATCTAATAATGCATCAAAGACAATGTAGTTACTAATTGTTCACATGTCCAAGGCTTTGATCAAAGGTAAACAAAAAATACAGTCCACAATTACTTGTTAGAAAATTATAAAATTTTCACTAAATCACTGAAATCATTTATAAATTTGGCAATTAAAATATTAAAATTCAGTAATTTTCTAAGCAATTTAGTAGTTTTGATCAGGACTGAGGTTAATTAACATGTTTATGCAAAAACTTTGAAAAAAAATATTTATCTGATGCATTTTTACAGCGGTTTAATTTAGTTTACATCCAGAAGGGTAGTTTTTTTTATTAAAAAACAAATTACTAACAAAAGGGTAGTAAATTTGACAATGTATCATTGAGTTTTTTTATTTTATTAATATATATATATATATATATATATATATATATATATATATATATATATATATTAATAAAATTCCAACGTTAAAAAAAACGTAAAAAAAAAATAAAAATAAAAAAAAAATATATATATATATATATATATATATATATATATATATATATATTTTTTTTTTTTTTTTTTTGTAAGCATTGTCTCAAAATATGTGTCAAAATACGTTGACACATCTAAAATTCATACTGCCAACTGAAACAGAAAAAGTTTTGGCTAAATTAGGAATCATAATTCTCTCTCTCTCTCTCTCTCTCTCTCTCTCTCTCTCTCTCTCTCTCTATATATATATATATATATATACAGTATTGTACTGAATTAATTTAGAGCCTAGAAAGGTTATAAAACACTCATTGTTTTTCTTACCTGTTCGATATCCAGTGTTGTTAAGATAAACTGCAAAAGATCGTGGCTCATGCTGAGCTTGCCATGAAGGTGACGAGCAGTTCTCATTGTTGGTGTAGGTGTTGTGATTGTGGACGTACTTCCCCGTCAGCATAGAGGATCGTGAAGGACAGCACATGGGTGTAGTAACAAATGCATTCGTGAATGATGTGCCACCATCCTCCATGATCTTGCGGGTTTTGTTCATCACCTGCAAAGATCCTGACACACAAGACAGACAACACAAAGAGAAGAACTTAAACTTAGTGTGAAATCAAACAGTAGTTTATTTTGCTAGTGCAGATTCTTTAGGTGTACAATTAATTCATGAAAGTAAATCCACTGAAAAAAAAGAGTTTTAGTATTCTTTAAAGAAAGTCTGACCATTTACTTCCACATTTGAACTTCTTCGTTGATCTCAGTTTAAGGGCTTTAAACACAATATTCTTAACCATGCACCTCTTACCATTAGTTTGCTATGCGAGATTGATGAGCAAAAAATTCTCACCCCCTACTCAATATTCTGTTTCAGTTGGAAGTACATAGAGTACATCAACAAACTAAAATACAAGTAATTCATACTCAGACTTCATATTCAGACTTTAAATGAAGTGCATGTTTTCAGTCAAAAATTTTCAGTGGAAGAGGGAAGAAGAAATCCTGCAGTTTTGTAGCAATGCAGCATCTTTGTGTGATTACAGGACTTCTCACATGTCTGAGGAAAACCGTTGAATATTAAAAGAGGAAAGAGTCAAATCTGCGATGGCAGTCTGAGATTGAAACTTACTGAAGGTTGTGTTTTTAGGGGAAAGCTTACTACATACTAAGTGAGGGACTTTGGGTGGTAGACTAAGATGACTAACAACAACAACAACAACAAGCTAATGTCTCTGGTCTGAAGTCCGAGATGACCAAAGACACTTTCTTTCTAGGAAAGTTAATAATGATAATAATTCTGAGTTAATAATGAACAACTTCAACTTAGTGGAGCTGATGAGTGACAATATTATTAAAAACACATCATAGATAGTCACCTGGACAACTGGCTTGGTTTATCTAAAATCTATCTTCAAAGATGTCAGCCTGGACCACAAAGCCAGTCAAAAGGGATTTTCGGAAATTGTTTGACATTGAGACTTATACATTACCTGAAAGATAAATAACTAAGCTTCCCATTAATGTAGGCTATTGTTTATTTAGATTACAATTTTGACAAATATAGAACTTTTTGAAAATTTTGAATCTGAGGGTTCAAAATAAAATAATAATAATAAAAAAATCCAAATACTAAGAAAATCACATTTAAAATTATTGATTTGATTCGATTTGAACTGATTTATTGATTTTATATATTTACAGTTAAAAATGTACAAACATGAACTTTATTTAAAAGGATAGTTCACTTAAAAATAAAAATATACTCACTATTTACTGACCCTCAAACATTTCCAAACCTTTATGAGTTTCCTTTTACGGTTGAACACAAAATATGATATTGTGAAAAACGTTGAAAACATGTAACCTTTGATTCCATAGCACAGAAAACAAATACTATTAAAGTCAATGGTTGTCGGGTTTCAGCATTTAAAAAAAAAAATAAAATAAATAACTTCCCTTGTGTTCAGAAAAATAGAAACTCAAGTAGATTTATTTAGAGTTAATTATAACAGAATTGTCAGTTACTTTTAACATTCAAATGCTTTTTGGCATGAAATAAAAATCAATAATTTTGACTTATACAATGCATTTTTGACAATTCCAACAAATAAACTCATGCAACATACAGACTAATCTAACTAACATAAGACTGGTCATATGGTCCTGGATCTCATATTAAAGTCAATTCAAGTTCACCCATCCAAATCAGTGAAGGGAATAATAATAAAAAGCAGTGTTTGGTCTACAGTTCCATTCCCATGTTTCCTCAAGTTTCATTCTGTTTTTGAGGATCTCTACAGTTACTTTCCAGCCTACTTGCTGATTCATAACTCCTGCATGCCGAGTGCTGACAAAGCCTCCAGAGAGTCGTCTGAGGTCTTGTCTGCAGAACAGATGGGCCATTAATGATGAATTGCATCTGGTCTACTCACCCAACTCCACATCCTGGTCATCTGTCATGATGAGTATGATGTTGGGTCTGATGTTCCTCCGGTCACCTTGAACTCGCCCACGCAGGCCCTGACCGCGGGTGGTGAAACCAAAGCAGACCAGTGGGGCGGCCAGGACCATCATCCAAGCCAGGCTCACCAGCTGCATCATGGGACTGCGAACGCGAATCAGAAGGTTGGAATCCTCACAAGGTAATCTGTTCGGGAAAGAGCAAAGAGATGTTAATGCTTCTGGTTTTCCGAAGAGGCCAAAACAAATGTAAAAAAAATATTGGAGAGACTAAAAAGAACCTTAAGAAGACAAACGGCAATTCCAGATCCTTCGACAAATCATGTGCATCTGCTTTTAAACTTAATTTTCACATGCACAGTAACAGACCATTGGGAAACTCAATGGTTGCACTGAAAGTAAACATACAATGCCCTCTTAAAAGGCATCAATGAATACATTAAACTTTCCTTTTTTATAATTAAAGTGCTACTTTACTAACAAAGCATGCAGTTTTAGATTACCAAAGTCACAAATAACGCAAATGTTCAGCCTGCACTCATAAAGACACACTTTCTTAAAGTCAGAAAGGCCTGAGTGTCTCTCTCCGTGTGTGCAGACAAGCCAGTTCTTTCTCTCTAATCAGTCACACTGCTTCAGTACTACTGAGGTTTTGCTATTGGCTATCAGGGGCAGCACCGACCCACACCCAGCCAATCAGATTTTGTCATCATGGCTGTCAGTTAGAAGGCCCAGAGCTTGTGACCCCTAGCGGACACCCAGTGGGACTGATGAAGGCAGTAAAGGGGAGAGAGGGTTACGCTACATTAACCCTTGTGCTGCAGTCGCCCGTCACAGATTTACACACTGACCCCTTTTACACAGCATGGCATTCACTCTGGCTCAAAGATGACTCAGTGAAAGCATGAATTTTTCATGAAACATGCTTGAGTTTTTGTACTTGCACATGAGGTGAGGTGACTTTTTTATATTTATTGTACCTGCAGACTGTGAGCATGCACAAAAGAGGGCTTGATTGATAACCCTGTCTGATGTTTGGGCAAGTTTATTATAGAAACCATATGGAGGGACATATTTCATGCGGCTCCATGCTGATCATTGTTTCTGATCAATGAGCTGTTAAAAAGGTTGAACATTCATGCACCTGAGCCTCGTTGCTTGTTATTCATTTGGATTGAAATTTTTACTTGAAAATTAAACTTGAATAGAGAGTTTGCAACTTGCAAGTTCATGTCAACTTACACTAAAGTCCTGGTCAGATCACACGACTTTTTCACAATTTCAAATGGGCGTCATGGCAAATTCAGTTGTTTCTTTTTGTGTAATGTGGCATAGTTCACGACAACCAATACCATGTCTTTGACGCCTCATGACAAAATCACAGAAAGTCTAGAATGTCCATTTTTTTCCCCGATCTACACAACAAGTTCCGACAATGGACAGGAGGAGCACATTATTTCTCAGTTATATCTGCGAGTGCTGCTGTCAATCCGTGGGTCAGGTAATTAAAAAAATAAGCTGCATATTTACTTATGGGTGGGTCTCGGGTGGATAAGATCAATCATGGGTTTGCAAACTTTAACACTTTTCTCTAAAATATTAAACAAAAGTTTTAAACAATTTTATTTGACAGACTGGCACAAATATGCAGACATCTCCATTCTCACAATGAGTTGAGTTCTCTTAGCCTTCCAACCAAGTTTGTTCTTTCGAGGTAATCTGGAAACATGTTCAGTGCTGCTAATACATGGTAAAAGCCTGTCTTGCTTATACAAAATACTTGATTAAACTAATAAATTAAAACTTAACATCTTTTGTCATTAAAAATGAAAACATTTTAAAATAAGTCTTTCTGAAACTGTTAATACTTTAATTGTATTTAGGCTAGATTTAATTTTATTTAAGAAAGAAGTTTGTATTTTGGAGCTGAAGCATATAGTGGACAAGTTTTGAAGCATTTCACCAATAGCAATGTTATTCGTTATTCTTGTTTGTCTAGTATATTGAAAAGGAAATACACGTTTGATCTAAGATAATGGTACATAAGATAAAACAAACCACTGAAATTAATATAAGAAATATTGTTATAGCAATGTGTTTGTTATGTGACTGCTTTGGAAAATAACACTCACCATAGACATCACGGGATGACTGATCGTGAAGGAACATGTAGTCTGGCACATTTGTTACATTCGACAAGTCAAGATTTTATCAAGATTTATTTTATTTATTTATTTTTTTAAATTGCATAATCTGACATAATGATTTTAAGACAATAAAAATTGTGTGATCTGACCGGGGCTTAACCCCAACCTTACTATCAGCTAATAGCCTAAAGAGAATTAATTGCCATGTAGGTGCAATGCAACTTATAATTCAATAAAGTGTTTTGAAAATAAATAAATATAAACCAAATATTTGATCATAATCATTGACTTCCATAGTATATATGGCAGTATTCGGTATGGAGCTAAATGGGCAGCATCTAATGTTTGTTTAGTACCATTCTTTATACAATATCTTCAACAGGCGAAAGAAACATATATTGGTTTAGAACAAGATAAAGATTTCTGGGCAATTTCCCCCCTTAATTGCCTCTAAGATCATTTTTAACAAGAAGACCAGTGAAGGGCACAACATTTTTGAGTAAATTAGAATCTGCACCAATTTTACAGTATTACCACAAGGCCAATGTGTCCACATATTTAAACTACACTGGAAAAAAAAAAAAAAAACATTCAAAGATGATTCCTTGGATTTTTCAATTTATTTGGGCTTAATTTTAAAGTTAAGTTGAAAATTACTCAATTTAATTTGTTTAAATTCACCTCAAATAAATTTGTTTGCAACAATTATTTTTTCAGTGTAACAATTCTCCATTTGAGACATGATAAATACTTTCTGAATTAGTGATGTGGGTAAAAATCATGATACAATAATCACAATTCCTATCTCTCTTTCAGGTACATTAAATGTGACTTCTGATAAGAAAATGATGTTGAACAGAAAATCATGCAGATGATGTCTTATATAGAATACTAGAAGTTTTTCTTTGTTTTTAACAGAGTGGATTTCAGACAGGCAGCATGAAGGATAGTCAGTCCAGTCACCCTGACAGCACTGTGCAAACACTGGCGCTGTTTAGACAAACCCCTGGTGCAGGGAATGGCAGGAATCAGTCAGGTCAGGTCACGCATACATAGTTCCAGATCTCATGAAAATATAGAGAACAACTCTGATTCTTTCATTCAGATGTATGCTTTTTTTCATCCTTTTTATGCCTACATTGTACAAATTAGATTGACTTCTCAGCATCAGTATTCAATTTAAAGTGCTAAATGAATCCTTTCATTGGCCTTCTCATGTGACACTCAAGGATGAACTTTTGTGTGAAGTGCCTCCAGCAATTTAAGTCTAACATTATTAAATTCAGCCAAAAGAAAAAAAAAAAGTCTAGGTATGAGCCAATACATCTATTTAGCTCAATCATGTGTTCCTCAAGCAACCCAAAATTAAACTCTCTGCCCTCAAAGATGACACACTTACCCTCATTCCAGCACTGTAATTTTAGAATACAGTCAACCCAAAATAGCTCTTCTATTTTCTTCCCTAGAGGGAAAAAAGGTTGTGAATTATAATTTCGTTTTAATTACCCTAATTACTGTGAAAATGCGTTCCAGTTGGGGGCACTGGCAAGAACACAAACCACTACTTTGCTTTTCTTTGACACTCGCGTCCTTTACTGACCTCTCGCTCTATGAAAAACAGTCCTGCTATCCTCCATTTCCGTGAATAATGGGAAACAAAGCATCCACACTTCCATGACTCTCTGACACTGAATCAGCACTGGGCTGGTATGCAAAAATGATGTGATGTTTGTGTCTGAAGCCTTCAGCGGAAAACCTGGCAACTTCCTCTGGCTTTAGTCGGACTGTTATTCAGATTAATGGGCTTGTAATGTGCAGAACAAAACGTACTTCCAATTTGCTTGCTTTAAATTTGTATTATACAACTATTTAAGAGTCAGTTATACAGAAGACCAGTGCATTGAACTCTGGAGAGAGCAAATGAAGGAATCAAGGGGAAAGTATTGCAAGTACTGGGAAAGTATTGCAATTATTACTATTAAAATTCTGGATTAAAACTTGCAAACAAAAAGGCAAACTATGAAATATAAATATGTATACAAATAAAACAATTACTTTTATATTTCACACATTAACTTATCATAAGTACACCTGTTCACTTGCTTGATAACGCAAATGTAACACATGTACAGTATGATGATCTGCGGAAGACTAATTATTTTTAAAGGGTCAAGAAACACCAAAACATTTTTTTAGATGTTGACAGTCATATATGTGTCCCACACTGCTAAAAAAAAAAACTATCAGGACACATTTATAAAAAACATTTTAAAAAGTAAAAATTGGTTGTTTTTGTGTTCTTTCGAGCAAATTCGTTCTTCCATTTTGAAAAAAAAATTAAAGCTGCGTCACGGCGATTAGATCCTTATGTGAATTCCAGTGTGTAGATTGGATGTCTGTACTGGCCAGTAAAACGTGACGTCTTTGAGCTTTTAGCATTAATTCATGAGAAAGACTTCTAAGTCTTTCTAGACCTTCAATCAGCACGCTCTATTGTGTATGAGGTGCTACTTCATTACTATGCATGATAGCTTCGAAGACAGTGTTTAGATGGCAGATAAACACCATGCTGCATTGCCAATCGTAATTAAAACAAGTAGAAGAAGAAATGTTTGTTGACATGGGTTGTCAGTGTTGCATTTATAAATGTGCTGCAATGAAGGTTTTGTTTTCATTCCCCGCTATGAGTGCGCATCTGGACTCATGTGGATTACAGTGATCTGCTAACACGCGAAATATATTTGTAAGGAACATTTTTTACCCGAGAGCTTTTTAAATCTGGAAATGGCAAAATCCAGATTTGCCACTCTTATTTTAAAAAAAGACGCGCTTGCAGTTCGTGTTGGTTGTCCTGTCTTTACAGATTCGTTAAGTGTGTGATCAGTATTCTGTTTATGTTTATTTAGAGGCAAAGTTAGTTAGTATTGTCAGCAGTACTCTTTCAGTTTCTAAAGGCATACCCAGTTTCTAAAAGCATACCTTAGTCAAAATGATTGAGTTACTAAGTTTACAGTACATTAATATCACTACAATATCATAG